GTAAGACTCTATTGTACTCTGTTTGGTTGTGGTCCATGTACATAAACAGTACCTATATCAAGAGAAAGGCAGGATAAAAATAAATCAAAGTACAGCAGAGTCTCACTTTTCCAACATAAACGGGCCGGCAGAACGTTGGATAAGCAAAAATATTGGATCATAAGGAGGGACTAAGGAAAAACCTATTAAACATCAAATTACTTTATGATTTTACAAATTAAGCACCAAAACATCATGTTTTGCAACAAATCGACAGAAAAAGCAGTTCAATACATGGTGAAGTTATGTAGTAATTACTGTATTTACAGATTTAGCACCAAAACATCATAATGTATTGAAACAGCTGTGGATCTGGGCGGGAGGCAGACTGCGTTGGATAATACAGAACTTTGGATGAGTGAAGGTTGGATAAGCGCGACTCTACTGTAAATAAAATACTTCAAACCCAAGCAAGACTAACACTAAAAGCTACACAGGAGTGTGTTATAAATCTCTACACCAGGCATGGACAAACTTCGGCCCTCCAGGTGTTTTGGAGTACAACTCCACAATTCCTAACAGCCTCAAGCCCCTTCCTTTTCCAAGGAAAAGGAAGGGGCCTGAGGCTGTTAGGAATTGTGGGAGTTGTAGTCCAAAACACCTGGAAGGTCGAAATTTGCCCATGCCTGCTCTACAGATTACTCTTAGATGCCTGGTAGTTTATTAAGACATCACAGCCAATTTGCAATAGGAATAATTTGGACTATTAGCAATGGGCTCCCCAAACCTGATTTCCCAGTACTAGATCTTGGGAAGGTAGGCGTTCAGTATTGTAAAACCTTTTCAGGAGCCATCCTGGCAGGATTTATTTGACAAGTTATGGAAATACTGTTTGGCTGGAAGAATTGCCTATTGTGTTGGGCTGCGGTGTCATGCTAACACGGGGAATCATTCCTTTTCAACACAGCAGGGCTTATTTCTGAGCAAACATGAATAGGATTGCATTACACACTCATTTCTAAACACCAGTCTGGAATGCTGTAATGCCAACACTAAAGTGTAATCCTTTGTATGTTTGTTTTGAAGTAAATTCCGCTGGACTCATAAGGGCTCTTTCCCGGAATAAGTATTTACAACTGGGACGTAACTGAAATCCTGAGTGTGTTTAGTTAGTAGAAGATTGGCTGCGTTGAACTTTGTGAGATTTACATGTCTTATTTGGGGCAGAAAGTAGACATTTCTGATTGCAGAGCATTTTCTCTTTTTTCTGTTTCTCATTTTATTAGAAATTATCTGGTATGTTTAGAAGGCTTTCATGGCATTAGAACCAGCTTAAAGTGGATGTGTTATGACTTGGGCACACCATTTGTTAAAATGTCTTGGAAATTGGAAATTTCCATAACTTTTTGGAGATTTTATGATCTTTGGAATCATCGAATTATAGAGTTGGAAGAGATCTTGTGGGCTATCCAGTCCAACGCCTTCCCAAGAAGGAAAATCACATTCAAAGCACCCCTGAAAGGCATGACTTTCTTAGAAGTAATGACCTTTTTGAGAAGTGATGCCATAACCTATTTGGGAAAATGGCATTTACCAGCATTCATGCAAGGCAACTAGGTTTCTCAGCTGTTAAACTGATGTACCTAGGTATGTCTTTGAACTGTTAGGGACAAAGACATGCCACTGCACAAAAAACACACATATATAGCAGAGCTTCAGGAGTGTTCTTTTACTTGCCCAAAACACCTACTCTCCTTTAAAATATCTTGCCTTTAAATCATGCTATCAAGAGACAAAAGTAACATAATTGGTTTACTCACAAACTTAATGTATTCAGTATACAGGTACATTGCTTATCAGACCAGTTACAGATAGGATTTGAAGTAGTTTCTCTATGCAGATGACACAGGACATCTTTTATATAATCTTAGTCCAGAGTTTAAAGCATCTCTCTGTTCTGAGTGTCTAATAGAGTGTCTATCTACTCTGGAAGTCCAATGAAATCTCTAAGCATACTGTTCCAAACTGAAGTCTAAATGTGTACAGTTTCTAAAATGGAGTCTGAGCCCTGAACAAGCCCAGGCCTGGTCATAAAATGATAGAATTGAAAGAGACCTCATGGATAATCTAGTCCAACCCCCTGCCAAGAAGCAGGAAAATGTCATTCAAAGCACCCCCAACAGATGGCCATCCAGGCTCTGCTTAAAAGTCCCCAAAAAAGGAGCCTCCATCACACCCTAATGCAGAGAGTTCCACTGCTGAACAGCTCTCACAGTCAGGAAGTTCTTCCTAATGTTCAAGTGGAATCTCCATTCCTGTAGTTTGAAGCCATTGTTCCGTATTCTAGTCTCCAGGGCAGCAGAAAACAAGCTTGCTCCCTCCTCCCTATGATTTCCCCTCACATATTTATATGTGACCATCATGTCTCCTCTCAGCCTTCTCTTCTGAAGGTGAAACATGCCCACCTCTTTCAGCTGCTCTTCATAGGGCTTGTTCTCCAGACCCTTGGTCATTTTAGTTGCCCTCTTCTGGATTCATTCCAGCTTGTCAACATCTCCCTTCAATTGTGGTGCCCAGAATTGGACGCAGTATTCCAGATGTGGTCTAACCAAGACAGAATAGAGGGGTAGCATGACTTCCCTGGATCTAGACACAATACTATTTGTGCAGGCCAAAATCCCATTGGCTTTTTTTGCCACCGCTTGACATTGTTGGTTCACGTTTGACTTGTTGTCCACGAGGACTCCAAGAACTTTTCTTGAGCCAGATCACATGGTCTGCAAACCCTCCCACAACAAAGAGTTAAAGAAATACAGTAAGCAATCTGAATTATATAAATAACAAAAAACTAGTGGTGGTTTGAGTAGGTTGCCATTTCCAACAAAATATGTAGACTGAAATACACAGCTTGTTTTTATATTACCATTGCAATCAGTCCTCCCAAGTTAACAGAATATAAGGCAAGAGGCCGAGGGTTTTACTGTCCGATAAAGCTATGCAGGGAAATTCTCAATTAAAACAAGCTGGCATCTTGGCAACACATTCTCTGATTTGTTTCCAAAGTGATGCTTTGTCACTGTCAAGATCTAAGTCTTTCTGTAGTGGAACAATTATTTGCATATATTGGGCAGATAAATAATTTCTTCCAGATTTGTGGGTTTAAAATACTACAGAATGATGAATGAGTATCTTAATGCCAGAAGGCAAGTTGGGTTTTTTCCCCCTGAAAAATTGAAGCTACAACCCAAATAATAATAAATCTCTCTAAGAACGATGCTGTCCCCTGCCAGCTTTAGTATTATTCTTCCTATCCAATTTTTTAAAAATGTGTGATGAAACTGTATAAGTCCCAGCTCCTTTTGTTAGGCTGACTCACCCATAGTATGAGAATAACCACTTTTCTGTTAGTTTTACGAGGATGGAGTTTAAGAAAACGCTTCCTGGTTTGTATCAAGAAGTTTGCCTGCCCTTTTGCCCAGGGAAAAAGGAGCCGTCTTTAGTTTGGGGTTATTACCACCAGGGAATCTTGGAAGCAAGTCGTGTCTGTAATTCAGTGGTTCCCAACCTGTGGTCCATGGACCACCAGTGATCTGCAAGAACTAAATTATGGTCCACAACCTCACTGTTACTACACCGTTGCAACGAGAGCAACTGGTCTCATGAAACCCTCTTATAAGTGCCGAAGCTTATTAAATATGGTTTTCTGTGGGCGAGGAGATTACAACTACTGGGTGGCATATGTTCAGTATCAGTAACTGGAGCTGATGTGATTTGTCAAATGCAATTTTCTGATTCAGCTGATGTGGTCTATTCAGTGCAATTTTCTGAATCAGCATCCCAAATAACCAAACCGAATCTAAAGCTTGGATCTCGCTGGAACCAACTACAGCAGTGGTTCCCAACCTTTTTTGGACCAGGGACCACTCTCCAACATTAGTACATTTGCTAGTTCAAATGAAACAACAAACTACAGTTTGGAAACTACAGTTTGTGGCAAACCAGGTAGTGATTAAATGGAGCATAAAGGAGTCAATCACACCCATTCTCTAAATTCTGGCTATTTAGGATTGGATCGTACCAGGTTAAACTTGAGCTGTTGAACTTGCTGACCGAAAGGTTGGCGGTTTGAATCTGGGAAGCAAGATAAGCTCTCACAGTTAGCCCCAGCTCAAAAACATGCAAATGTGAGTAGATCAATAGGTACCGCTTCTGAGGGAAGGTAATGGTGCTCCACGCAGTCATGCCATCCACATGACCTTGGAGGTGTCTACAGGCAACGCCGGCTTTTCAGCTTAAAAATGGAGATGAGTTCCAACCTCCAGGGTCAGACACAACTAGACTTAGTGTCAGGGGAAACCTTTACTTTAGGATTGTAATATACCACCCAGGGTGCAGCTTGACTGTAGAATTATGAATAAAGCAGTTGGACACCACTTTATCTACCTTGGCTCAATGCTATATAATCCTGGGAGTTGTCGTTTGGCGAGGCACCAGACTTTTTGTCAGGTAAGCGTAAAGATCTTGTAAAACTACAACTTCTTGATTCCATAGCATTGAGCAATGGCAAATAAAGTGGTGTCAAACTGCATTAATTCTGCAGTGTGGGGTGCATCCCATTTGAGAAACACCCGCTTTGCAATTAATAAACATAAAAACAACAAAACAATCAGCCATTAACTAAAGCTTTTGTGTGCCCACTTAATTGCTACCCTTTCTTCTGTTTTCAAGCTGGTTATGAAACACCATGAGTTTCCAAAGTGGCTTACCACATCACAGGAAGCCCTGTCTGAGAAACCCAAGTTCAAAACTTCGGTAGGTCTTTTGAATAGATGTTGAACTCTGCAAGTAAAACTCGCCTAGGGGATTTCAGTGTTGGGCTTTTAATGTGCAAGCTTTCAATGCATCACGGTGGAATGTGTTTGACTCAGCAAGAGCCTCCCTCCTCCACATAGCTTATCTTTTCTAAGCTTAGTGCACAGCATTATCAGAGAGCTCTGTATTTAATAACCTTTCTTTTGCAGACTGGAATCTGGATTGGAATCAAGTTAAGACTGAAAAACAAGCATTGCTTGGACATTTCGGGAGGCGTTGAAGAACACCTTGCTCTCCTTAGCAACATTCTTGTAGGCTGTTGAAGGCACAAGGCAGTGCCTGGTTACGTTTTTGAAATATTAACAGTTTTTGCTGGATGTTGGAGTGTTTTGGTCCAGTTTTCTGAATGATTCTTCCTTGCTGCTGTAGCAGGAATGCAGGACCAGAATTTGGCAGAAATGCATAGCAATGAGGTGCTTTCTGGACAGTCGTATTCACAAGATCTGCCAGCCGAGACATCTATCGCCGCTCTCAACAGTGATGGAGCTCATGAATATTGCGTAAACCAAGCTGGGAATCTTGATGAAAGTTTTGAAGTGGAGAAAGTTCAGAAACGTTTTCCTAATAGCCAGAATGGCAATGGAAATGTGCACGAAACGTCACCGGAGACTTCTTATGACACCAGCGCAGTGGAATCCAGCAGTTCATGGGGTGACTTTGAAGCATTCAGTGAAGTCAAGTTGGAGAATGCAAGCGACAGCCCAGAGTCTTTGGGAAAGCTAAGTGAAAAACAAGTTTATATGAATGGGGCCGACCTCAACCACAAGTGCACCACTACCTCATGGACACAGTGTTTTTCCCAAGTGGCTAGACACAACCGAAAAGAAACTTCAGCTAATGTTATGGTATGTTTTGATAAGAAATCTATTTACTTAATCCTCACCACTTTTTCCTGTTTAAGAATGCCGTTTCCATGGTATTACCATGTATTTTCTGTCTCTTTCTTTGCTGTATGATAACTTGTCTCAGACAAGAGAGGGAAAAGGGTTGCTCTTCATAAAACGGAGGGGAAAAAACCTCTTAGTTCATACATTTTTCAAATATCTCCCTTCCTTTGTGTTACGATTCCCAAATAAGAGTGTCCTTGTCTTCGTACAATCAGGTTTTTGTCTACACAGTTTTGCATTTCTTGGCCCTAAGCTATACCCATACAGTTAACTCCCATTCCTTATTGTCTTGGACCGTAAAGTTGCAGCTACGATGTAAACACATTTTTAAAAATACAATTACACATTAATTGTGTAATAAGCCAAGGAACCAGCCCAGACTCTGAACCGGTGCATGTCAGCTGTTGTGGAATGGATGAGGACAAACAAATTGAAATTGAATCCAGACAAGATGGAGGTCCTCTTAATCGAGTGTTTCTCAACCTGAGGGTAGCAAGGGGGTACCAGAGGAGTTGCCAAAGGCCATCAGAAAACACAGTATTTTCTGTTGGTCATGGGAGATCTGTGTGGGAAGTCTGGCCCAATTCTACCATTGGTGGAGTTCAAAATGTTTTTGATTGTAGGTGAACTATATTCCAGCAACTACAACTTCCAAATGTCAAGGTCTATTTTCCTCAAACTCAACCAGTGTTCACATTTGGGCATATTGAGTATTTTTTCCAAGTTTGGTCCAGATCCATCATTTTTTGAGCCCATAGTGCTCTCTGGATGTAGGTGAACTACAACTCCAAAACTCAAAGTCATTGCCCACCAAACCCTTCCAGTATTTTCTGATGGTCATGGGAGTTCTGTGTGCCAAGTTTGGTTCAATTCCATTGTTGGTAGAGTTCAGAATGTTCGTTGATTGTAGGTGAACTATAAATCCCAGCAACTACAACTCTCAAGTGTCAGAATCAATGCCTCCCTAACCCCACCAGTATTCAAATTTGGCCTTATTGGGAATTTGTGCCCAATTTGGTCCAGTGAATGAAATACATCCTGCATATCAGATATTTACATTACAATTCATAACAGTAGCAAAATTACAGTTATGAAGCAGCAATGAAAATAATTTTATGGTTGGGGGTCACCACAACATGAGGAACTGTATTAAGGTCTTGTGGCATTAGGAAGGTTGAGAAACACTGCTCAAGAGGGAGGCTGAAGCAAACCCTCTGTGTACAAATATTGCCAAGAAAAATAAATTCACCTATGGGTGCCATGGCTCAGAAACAACTTGAATACACACAACAACAACAACAACAACAACAACAACAACAACAACAACAACGAGAGTTCTCCCAAGGCAAACACCAAACTTAGGTAAATATAGTCAGCTCTCTATACTCACAGGTTTAACATTGTGGGTTTGTTTGTTTATGGGTTTGGTGACCAAATATGTTGGGGAGACATCAAAGGATGGAAATCAAGGTGTACAAGGAGAGCAAACCCTGATCTAGGCAGTTATGGAGGTTGTTGTATAAAGACGAAATCATGAATTTGCATGCATTTGTTATGTTGACCTGTCTGAAAAATATTTGAGGGGACTAGCAAAATCACACAGACATGAACACTTACTAGTTAATCTTGACTGGCTGGATTCACTGTGTTGGATACCTTTCCAATGTCTGATAATCTGTAGGCTTGCTGGATGTCTAAAATGGTGGGGATTGTGTTAGCTTGTCTAAACAAATGTGAAGCTCCCTGGTACAGATATTGTAAGCATGTCTCGGAGACATCCAATATACAATGATTTCCTTTGTTCACTGTAATCAAACTGCATGTTTTGACACTGTGTATATCACACCGCTGGCTTCAATGCATATGCATTATTTTGCTTTCTCTAGGCTGTCTCCAGTACTGAAGATGTCATTAAACGGAGCTTTCCAGACATTTCAGTACCACAGTTCTTGGAAAAAATAAGCAGTTTGGAACAAATACTTCATGCAAAAACAGAAAACACAGAACCTCCTGAATGTACAGAGCAACAACTTTGGTAATAGTTTGTATTTTTAAGAATATGTTTGGTGAATCTATTCTGGTCGGGACTAACAATTGGATTTAGGCCAAAGTGTGGAAATCCTGATGTTGATGGACAACACCTCCATCAGCCCCATCTAGCATAACCAAAGTGGAGAACGAGAGTGTCTGGTCTCGCAAAACCCTCTTATAGTATCGAGATAATGGGGATGTCAGGAGGGGAGAGGCTGACTCCCCACAAAAGATTACTACTACCACATCAACTCTAGATTATTAAATATGGTTTTCTGTGGGCGAGCAGATGGTGACTACTGGATGGCATATGTTCTTTATCAGAAACCAGAGCTGATGTGGTCTATCCAATGCAATTTTCTGAATCAGCACCCCAAATAACCAAACCAAATCTGACATTGACCAAAAACTGATTCGTAACCTTTTGGTACTAATGTTGGAGAGTAGTCCTGGGTCAGAGTGGTCCCTGGACAAAGAGGTCCCTGGTCAAAAAAAGATTGGGAACCACTGCTTTAGTCCCTATGTATTACTTAAGGTCATTTGCAGATTGGGTGTGTTCACTGTCTCTATTCTTTGTACCTGAATCGTTCAGGTGGAAGAGTGGTTTACTATGAGGCATGTGTTTGGTATGTGTTTGGCAATCTTGGATTAATCTGAATTGTTTTTTTCCTTTCAAAGCATTGACTCGGCAGACGTATGGAAGACCCTCACCTCTTGCAGTCACCTCTCCAGTTTAAAATGTCATCGTAATGAATCTCGTCATCAGAAAAACCTTTTAGCTGTGCTTGGAATAGATCTTCATCAAAAGGTATATATATATATATAATGGAATTTTAATAATAATAGTAATAGTAGTAGTAGTAGTAGTAATAATAATAATAATAATAATACTTTATTTATATTCCGCCCTTCTCACCTCGAAGGGGACTCAGGGCGGATCACAGTACACATACACGGCAAACATTCACTGCCGCTTTGTATAGACTATACACAGACAGACAGAACAGAAGGAGGTGCCATGTAAGGTTGGGTTCGAGTCCAGGGGTGCCGTTGCTCTATCCTCTATGACGAACCATCAGGACTTCTTCCTTCCTTTTGGTCACCCAGCATTTTCTGATCTTCTTTCTTTATGGTGTCGTAAAACACCTCCCCTGCTTTTAGCGGTACCTAATTTCTCTCATCACAGCTAAAGCTGTTTTCGAATTACTTAGGTAAACAATGAGATAGGCTGACAGTTGGCAGCTCACGGCAACTCGGGGCTTCGAAGTTGCAACCTTCTGGTTGATCTTATAACTGCTGATGATTTACCAGCTGTGCTAAACCAGAGGCATGCTGTGTTCATACAGAAGTGCCAGGCATCTTCCAATGAGACAAGGGAGTTTGCCCTATTTTGGCTTGGTATCAGAAATTTTGTTTCCAACCTTCATTTTTGGAGCCCCCAGTATCGCAGCGGGTTAAACCACTGAGCTGTAGAACTTGCTGACGGAAAGGTCAACGGTTTGAATCCGGGGAGCAGGGTGAGCTCCTGCTGTTAGGCCCAGCTTCTGCCCACCTAGAAGTTCGAAAACATACAAATGTGAGTAAATCAATAGGTACCGCCTTGGTGGTAACGGCTCTCCATGCAGTCATGCCGGCCACATGACCTAGGAGGTGTCTATGTACAACTCCAGCTCTTCGGCTTAGAAATGGAGATGAGCGCCACCCCACAGAGTCGGACACGACTATACTTCATGTCAGAGGAAACCTTGACCTTGGATCTGCAAGCCACACACACACACCTTGACCTAGTAAGTACAAGGGAGAGAGCCTTCTCTAATGTGGCCCCCCAACTCTGGAACTCACTGCCTGGAGAAATTAGGAAAGCCCCCTCCCTAGAAATTTTTAAAAAGAACCTTAAAACCTGGCTCTTCTGCTGCGCCTTTGATGAGTAGGTATATAATCCCACATGATTGCTCAGCCTCAAAGTTCTGTCATTGGAGTATACATCCCCCTCTCATGGGAAAGCTTGATTCCACAACTACTGCTAAAATGAGCCCTCCTCCGTAAATTACCTGCTTTTCTCTTTTATCTCGCCCGAGTTTTTTTAATTAGTTTTAATCAGTTTGTCTTTTAGTCATTACATGTAGCCCGTCCATTATTACTGTGCCTGTGCATATTGTAATTTTTATATTGTTATGTATTCATATGTTTTACGTAACTATGATATTGTTTATTGTTTTCGGTTTGTGTTTTGGTTTTTCTTTAATTGTAATTGTCATTTGGGCTTGGCCTCATGTAAGCCGTTCCGAGTCCCCATCGGAGAGATGGTGGCGGGGTATAAATAAAGATTATTATTATTATTATTATTATTATTATTATTATTATTATTATTATTATTACAAACTACCTTATTTAGGTGCAATCTTCTGCTACTTTGCACAGTACAGTCCTATTGTGGCCACTGACTTAAATGGGCTTTTTATAGGAACTCAACATACAATTAGGGGATTTGGCCCTTTAGGGACAGGAAAAAAATCCCAGGATGCAAAGTGGGAATTTAAGGCTTCTCTGAATTTGTCTTACATCTACAAAAATTCTTTCTACTGGCTCTTTGGATCTGGTCCAAGGGACTTTGAAGCATTCCTGAACAACCAGAAAGCACTAAGCAACTTTATATCTCAAATGAGGAAAGGGAAAATCACTGTTCAAAGCTGGCTTTTTGCATGATAGTTTTCTGCTTGCAAACTGCGTTGCTTGTTTTCTTTTTTAAAGAGACTTTCCATTATGCAACATTTGTGCTACTGCAAGTTAACAGACATGTGTTCATTCTGCTCCCTAATAAAGAAGCTTCTTCCAATTACATGACAGATTTAGCAAAAGTAGGATATGGAATTAGGAAATATCTTCGGGAAGGGCAACAAAGGTCTAATCCCCAGGCAATACAAAAATAGTTTAGAACACAACTTAGTAGATAACCAGATAAAAACTGTAATGTTTATGTGGACTAAATATTTAGGTAGAACTATTGATTTGGAAGAATGGGAATATTTTCAGTTAGAGAAAATAGGTTTAAAATGTTTTACAGAACCTGAAAAATTCAAGAGTTATTGGCTAAAATAGAGAAAACAGGACCAAGGGCTTGCTGGAGATATAAGAAGGTGAAGGGACCTTTTTTGACGTGTGGTAGACCTGTAATATTGTTCAAGAATTCGGGGGAAAAGTGGTGAAAAAAACAAACAATATGATTAACAAAAAGGTCAAGAAAACCCCGAAGATTTTCTTATTAAGAATATTTAGAAGGTGCATTAGCGCAGGAGATGAAGATGAAGAAATTTGTCAATATTGCTTTGTTGCTCCGAGCCTAATCATTGCCAAAACATGGAAGGGGGGAAAAAGAGTTAACTATTAAAGATTGGAGAGAGAAATTAGTACAGTATATACTCGAGTAGAAGCCTAGTTTTTTCAGCCCCTTTTTAGGCTGAAAAATCTCCCCTTGGCTTATACTCGAGTCAAGGTTATTTATTTTTTACTCTGTCATTAGCATTATTTTTATTGCATTTATTATTTTAGGTTTTTTTTATTATTATTAGGTCAAAAGGTATTTAGCCGCCTGCGCTCCTATTTTTATCAGTTTTATACTAATTTACGCAATTATTTTGATACAAAATAAATAAATAATTACATTTATTATTTTACTCTATTATTATTATTATTACATTTATTCTTTTACTCTACTACTGTTATTACGTTTCCATTATTGTCTCTATTATTATTTTTATTACATTTATTATTTTGCTACCTTTATTATTATTGGAAGGATATGTAAGCACATTTACATTGAAGAAGGTTAGAATAATAATAATGATAATAATAATAATAATAATAATAATAATAATAATAATACTTTATTTTTACACTGCTACCATCTCCCCAGGGGATTCGGTGCGGCTTACATGAGGCCGACCCAAAATACAACAATACAAGCAATGGGTTGTTGTACGTTTTTTCGTGCTATATGGCCATGGTCTAGAGGCATTCTCTCCTGACGTTTCACCTGCATCTATGGCAAGCATCCTCAGAGGATGCTACCTCTGAGGATGCTTGCCATAGATGCAGGCGAAACGTCAGGAGAGAATGCCTCTAGACCATGGCCATATAGCCTGAAAAAACCTACAACAACCCAGTGATTCCGGCCATGGAAGCCTTTGACAATACAATACAAGCAATAACAATAACAATACAAACAATTTAAAAACAATAAAACATTAACATAAGCATTATCAATAGGACAACACACTTTAAAATCTATGGGTAGGCCAGATGTAATTAAAATGTAAAAAGATTAAAAAATAATGCTGGACATGGGCAAAAATGATGGGGCGGTTTGTGGGAACACCTAAACAATATAAAGTGCTTTGGAGGACGGTGCTATGGGATCATTATTCTGGGAAGGCACACTGGAACAACCACCTCTTCAACCTCCTCTTAAAGACTGCCAAAGTTGGGGCATGCCTGATGTCCTTAGGGAGTGAGTTCCAGAGTCGAGGGGCCACCACCAAAAAGGCCCTCCAATCATGCCCCACCAATCACGCTTGCAATGCAGGTGAGAGCGTGAGCAGGGCCTCTCCAGATGATTGAAGAAATCGTGTGGGTTCGTATACAGAGATGCGGTCACGAAGGTAGAATAATGGTTTAATCAGAATTGGACAGCTTTATCTTAAATTAAAATTTTATGTAAATATTTTTGAATATTTACTAATGCCTCAATTAACATAATTTTATTGGTATGTATTTCTATTTTGAAACTTACCAGTAGCTGATGCATTTCCTGCCCTCGGCTTATACTTGAGTCAATACATTTTCCCAGTTTTTTGTGGTAAAATTAGGTGCCTTGGCTTATATTAGGATCGGCTTATACTCAAGTATATGCGGTAGATTATACATGACAAATAGCAGCAGAGGAGGAAATAATGATGAATTTGTACAAAAATGGAGGCTGGCGCTTGGGTATCGGGAAAAGAGAAGATTTGAAGATCACCATAAAGGGGATTTAGTGAAAGAAAACATGTGGGTTAGTTGTTGTTGTTGTTGTTCATTCGTTCAGTCGTCTCCGACTCTTCGTGACCTCATGGACCAGCCCATGCCAGAGCTCCCTGTCGGCCGTCACCACCCCCAGCTCCTTCAAGGTCAGTCCAGTCACTTCAAGGATGCCATCCATCCATCTTGCCCTTGGTCGGCCCCCTCCTCCTTTTACCTTCCACTTTCCCCAGCATACCATTGTCTTCTCTAGGCTTTGCTGTCTCCTCATGATGTGGCCAAAGTACTTCAACTTTGTCTCTAGTATCCTTCCCTCCAATGTCTCTGGGATCCTTCCCTCCAATGAGGGAAGGGTTAGTTATGTGATCCATATTTAGGGGTGTCGGAGGTCATGGGGGTCGGGTTCATGGGTGTGGGGTTAGAGGGACAAGAAATATTGAGCTATAATTTGATTTTTCACATGTTTAACGAGCACTGACTGTATACCATTCTGTAAACTTGCATGCTCTTTTATATATCTTTTTATTCTTTTTTCCCTTTTTCCTGGTTTTTTATTTTGTTTTTCTGTTGTCTGTTTTGTTTCTTGTGTATACTATAAAACAATTAAAAAAGAAGAAGTGGGGAGGTGATCAATACAAACGACACGATGTTCCCTGTTTAAGGAAGAAGAAGAAAGAGATTCCTCCATTCTGGTATTTTTATCTTGCTCTCTCTAAGGAACTCACGGTCTCTCTCTCTCCCCATTTTATTCTGGGAAAGAAGAAGGACAGAATGTACCGCAGTCAAAGGCCCAAGGCATCTTATTTAAAGAAAGAGGGATTAGCGTAGGGGTTTCGGGGCATTGCTGCAGCGGGAGAAGATAACCTTTCTGCTGTCGGTTCCTCTTCTTCATTTGTGAAGGACACAGGCTTCTGTGACAACAGAGGGAAAAATTTGGCCTTACCAAATGCCCATAAAACCTGAGTTACTTGGAAGTGCTTTATGTGATGTTTCATATCTATTTAGGTTCTTTCAGAAGGTGAAGATGATATTTTGGAGGAAACCTGCATGAAAGAAAAGGAAGATTCCGGTGTTGGTCAATGTAACGGGAACATGTGCAAATCGCTAATTCAAACCAAGGTAAAACCAGGAACCGAGGAAGCATTTTCATCTCTTTGTCCGTTCAATCAAAGTTTATGTTCTCTTCTGATTGGTGCTTGTTGCATGTTGCCGCGTCTTGTAGACCAGTGGTTCCCAACCTTCCTAATGCCGTGACCCCTTAGTACAGTTCCCCGTGTTGTGGTGACTCCCAAACAGAGGCGGCCCTAGGTAATTTTCAATGGTAAGCAAACAGTATTTTGGCACCCCCCCCCCCCAACCAATCACTAATATATATTTTCTGTTCGTCATGGGAGTTCTGTGTGACATATTTGGTTCAGTTCCATCATTGGTGGAGTTCAGAATGCTCTTTGATTTTAGGTGAACTATACATCACAGTAACTACAACTCGCATATGTCAAGATCTATTTTCCCCCAAGAGCAACCCTGGGCAAAATCAACTATACTGCAAATGCTTACTTTGCGTAATGGGTTGAGCCCCCCCTGCCCCCAACCATAACATTATTTTTGTTGCTACTTCATAACTGTAATTTTGCTACTGTTATGAATTGTAATGTAAATATCTGATATGCAGGATGTGTTTTCATTACCCAATACACCCAAATTTGAATACTGTTGGGGTTGGGGGGGGGTTGATTTTGTCATTTGGGAGTTGTAGTTGTTGTTATTTATAGTTCACCTACAGTCAAAGAGCCACCAACGATGGAATTGAACCAAACTTGGCAAACAGAACTCCCATGACCAATAGAAAATACTGTAAGGGTTTGGTGGACATTGACCTTGAGTTTTGAAGTTGTAGTTCACCGATATCCAGAGAGCACTGTGGACTCAAACAATGAAGGATCTGGACCAAGCTTGGCCTGAATACTCAATATGTCCAAATGTAAACACTGGTGGAGTTTGGAGAAAATAGATCTTGACATTTGGGAGTTGTAGTTGCTGGGATTTATAGTTCACCTACAATCAAAGATCATTCTGAACCCCACCAACAGTAGAATTGGGCCAGAGTTCCCACATAGAATCCCCATGGCCAACAGAAAATACTGTTGGTTGGAGATGGTTCCTCCATCCAACTATGTGGCCCACAGCTATCAAGTAAGGTAACCACACACATGTATGAAAAATGTTTAACTGAGGACAGCATCCAGGATTTGGTGCCCATGCACTATGACAGTATATGCAACAATCACATACCTGGCAATCATGTATCATGTCAGCATTTTCAGTCCCAGTCCAAGTAGATGTTTGTTATCAGGCTTGGGAGAACTAATGACTAGTCTTGTGCATTTGTATAGAATCACTGTCCATTTCTGTTTGTTTCATTTGTAAGGCCCTATTTTCATTTTTGAGAATCTCTCCTGAAAACAGGTGCCTTTCTGAATGAGCAAACAAATATTTTCATCCCAGTGGCGGCAATGGACAGGCTTCCCACGCTCCTCTTCCCCTCAGTTTTAGGCACTGGCAGGCGTGGGTGCTTTTGGGCCTGCACGCCACACATGCACACTCTTTCCAAGGAGAGAGTGTGTGTGACTTGCAAGCCCAAAGCCCCCATGCCTGCCAGGTATCACACTGCAATTATTCAGCAGTGTTGATGATACCTGAGTCCCAGAGCCATCTGGATAGCATCGCAAGAATTAAAATAATGATTTAGAACAAATTCAGGAGAATTCCTGAAAAACGTCTTCCTCTTCCTCCTCTCTTTGAAAAGAGAGTGTATGTGTGGCTTGCAGGCCCAAAGTGCCCGTGCTTGCCAGGGCCTGCAGCTGAGCACCAAGCTCTGAGTAAGACGTGCTCAGCTCCAGACCGTGGCAGGCGTGGATGCTTTGGATCTGCAAGCCACACACACACACACTGCCCTTGAAAAGAGAGTGTATGTGTGGCTTGCAGGCCCAGAGTGCCCATGCTTGCCAGGGCCTGCAGCTGAGCACCAAGCTCTGAGTAAGACGTGCTCAGCTCCAGGCCGTGGCAGGCGTGGATGCTTTGGATCTGCAAGCCACACACACACACACACTGCCCTTGAAAAGAGAGTGTATGTGTGGCTTGCAGGCCCAAAGTGCCCATGCTTGCCAGGGCCTGCAGCTGAGCATCAAGCTCTGAGCAAGACGTGCTCGGCTGCAGGCCGTGGCAGGCGTGGATGCTTTGGACCTGCAAGCCACACACACACAGTCCTTGAAAAGAGAGTGCATGTGTGGCTTGCAGGCCAAAAGCATCCATGCCTGCCAAGGCCTGCAGCTGAGCACCGAAAATCAGGTGACCAAATGGTTACCATTCCCATTTCCCTTTTGTTTCACTGATATTTCCGTACCAGAGGTGGGTGTACCATTTTGTGCCATCCAAATGAAACAAATGGTATGAAAACATGAATTAAATGGCTGAAACAATTAATGGGCTCATGACTACTCAGCCTGCTCAGTGGATATTGGGATGTGGATGAATATGTGTCTTTCAGTCGACTGTTGACTTACGGTGACCTCATGAATTTCAAAATGTTTTCCTATTTATTTATCGTGTCAGGAGCAACCAGACAGTTGTATTACATTTTAACAAAACAAACAAACAGACAGACAGACAGACAGACAAAACACAAAGTTTGCAAGCTTAGTAGTTCATTAAATGTCCTTTGACCAGTATCTGGCCACTTGGAGTGCCTCTGCTGTTGCCGCAAGGTGGTCCTCCATTGTGCATGTGGCAGGGCTCAGGTTGCATTGCAGCACATGGTCAGTGGTTTGCTCTTCTCCACACTCGCATGTCATGGATTCCACTTTGTAGCCCCATTTCTTAAGGTTGGCTCTGCATCTTGTGGTGCCAGAGTGCAGTCTGTTCAGTGCCTTCCAAGTCGCCCAGTCTTCTGTGTGCTCAGGAGGGAGTCTCTCATTTGGTATCAGCCATTGATTGAGGTTCTGGGTTTGAGCCTGCCACTTTTGGACTCTCGCTTGCTGGGGTATTCCAGCAAGTGTCTCTATAGATGTTTTCCTTAGTAAGTGTTTTTGTGAGTTCCTTCCTCTGAAATATAACCCCCTATACTTGGTATTAGTTGTTGGTCTCCTGTCCAAGTACTTGCTTGGCTTCCAAGAGCTGTGGGATATTTAGGCCATGAAGAGGAACAGAGTATTCGGACAGAAAAAATGGCTAGTTGGATTCCTGAACAGGCGCATTCCACATGACAGCCTTTCATCACACACCCTCCTTGCTTTGATTCTGAATGCAATGGGTGCGGACTGCATTCCAGAAAGCAGATGGCTTGCACTGCTGCTCATCTCAACTAAAGGAATGAAGTGATCAGAGTGGTGTAGAACAGGTCCTCTCTGTAGTGGACTAATCCACTAGGCAGCAAATGAAGATTAAGTCACACCTTGGAAGAAAGGCAAGATTGGGTGATACTGAAGCATATATTGTCATGAGATAGCAGGAAGTCAAATCAGAAAGGACAGATTGGATAATTGTGCCAAACTGGTCTTTCAAGTAAGGAGTGGCTCAAGTAGGTTTTGCATAAGATGACAAGAAGAGAGTGCCTTCTTACTGTAAACTGAAGAAATGTTTGTTGCCTTGAAAATGCAAATGCAGAATTAAAGGCACTGCAGAAACGTCTGAGCCAGCTGCATTTTGATGAGGAACTTCCCCAGTGCTTCTTTGAGATGGCAAATTTTCTCTCGCCTTTCCAGTCATGAACTATGCAGTACTATTTTGAGAAAGTTGCACAACACTTGGCACTGGTTTTTGATAAATAAACTCTCCAAAGAATGCCTTGTTCTATTTCATGTGGAACTCATCAGTAGGTGCAGTATTTACTCTGTGCTAAAAATACCTGTAACCTGAAAAATCCAGATTGTACTGTCACTATAATTAGGCTTCATAATTATGTATTTTATATACCCAGCATGGTGTAGTGGTTTGAGCACTGGCCTGGGACTCTGGACTCCAAGGTTTAAATCTGCACTCGGTCATTGGAGAATTTTGGTCGAGGCAGAGGCAAGTCCCCTCTGAACAAATAATGCCAAGAAAATTCCCAATTTAAGGGTTGCCATTGGTCGGAAATGATAGAATCATTGAATCATTGAGTTGGAAGAGACCTCATGGGCCATCCAGTCCAACCCCTTGCCAAGAAGCAGGAAAATCACATTCAAAACACCCCTGACAGATGGCCATCCATCCGCTGCTTTAAAGCCTCCAAAGGAGCCTTCACCACACTCCGGGGCATAGAATTCCACTGCTGAACAGTTCTCTGTCAGAAAGTTCTTCCTAATCTTCAGGTGGAATCTCCTTTCCTGTAGTTTGAAGCCATTGTTCCACATCTTAGTCTCCAGGACAGCAGAAAATGAACTTGCTCTCTCCTCCCTGACTTCCCCTCACATATTTATCATCATGTCTCCTCTCAGCCTTCTCTTCTGAAGGCTAAACATGCCCAGCTCTTTAAGCCACTCCTCATTGGGCTTGTTCCCCATACCCTTGATCATTTTGGTCGCCCTCCTCTGGACACATTCCAGCTTGTCAACATCTCCCTTCAATTGTGGTGCCCAGAATTGGACACAGTATTCCAGATGTATTTTGTTTTATGCATTTTATTATTTTGTCTTCCTCGTCATGGGGAGTTCTCCAAGAAATCAATAATTAATGTATTGTTGAAGGCTTTCATGGCCGGAATCACTGGGTGGTTGTAGGTTTTTTCAGGCTATATGGCCATGTTCTAGAGGCATTCTCTCCTGACGTTTCACCTGCATCTATGGCAAGCATCCTCAGAGGTATGCTTGCCATAGATGCAGGCGAAACGTCAGGAGAGAATGCCCGAAAAAACCTACAACAACCCAATCAATAATCAATTCCCTACATAAAGGAATCATTTTGGCAGTTCCTTTAGCACTTGAGACTACACTAGACATGGATCAAAGTGTACGTAAGTCTGAGTTGTGCAACAAGGACGCCATTGGGTGTAGACTACAGGATTTATCATCCCAATGTCAGTTTTGAGTTTTGGTGAAAAAAGAAATCCCCAAAGCTCTTGATTCTTGTAGCAGTTAAATCCAAATTACTTTACGCCTTGTTTTAGTACATTGGTCACCAACCTGTGGTCCGTGGACCACCAGGGTCCGCAAGAACGAAGATATGGTCCACAGCCTCAACATTACTACACTGTTGCCTCAAAACCACATGGCAACAGGAGTGACTGGTCTCGCAACACCCTCTTACAGTGTGAGGCAACAGGGATGTTGGGAGGTGAGAGGCTGACTACCCACGAAAGATGGCTACTGCCACATCAGCTCTTGATTATTAAATATGGTTTTCTGTGGGTGAGCAGATGACAAAAACTGGATGGCATATGTTCTGTATTAGAAACTAGAGCTGATGTGGTCTATCCAATGCAATTTTCTGAATCAGCACCCCAAATAAACAAACTGAATCTAAAGTTGACCCAAAACTGATCAAGTGGTCCCTGACCAAAAAAAGGTTGAGAACCACTGTGTTTGCACTTCCCAGCATTCCTCACCATTAACAAAGCTTGCTAGGGCTGGTCAGACCAGTCTTCCTCCTCCATTTATTTATCTCCAGCTTTCCTCTCTTGAACAAGACTCAAAAAGACTCATATGTGAAAAGACACACTTTGTTCATCTCCCCATATGACCATTTGAAAATTTAAGGTCTATTTGGTTTTCTCCCCCAGTAGAAAAGCAGAACTCCTGAGGACTTTGGGGTTTCCTCTTCAAACCATGAATTTACATGTCTATAGAAACAGGAAATCCAGCTCAACCCAGAGGCATATGCTGGCTTCAGTAGTTCTGCTCACTATGCCAAATGGGGTGGCAAGCCTGGAGAATGCTGAGCCTTTTTTTATAGTAGTCCAGAAATAAATAGAGACTATAATAGTCCTGTGACTCCAGTTACAAGGCCATTGACGATATGCTTTTCATGACTTATGGTGCAGTGTTGGGATTTTGAAATGTGGTTTTGTACTTTTTGTCAGAAAGTAAAAATGAACTAGGTATTTTTAATTACAAAAATGTGAGTCAAGCACTGAAATAGTAGGCCAAAGCCTGTTAGAATCAGGGAGCCGAAGCTAGTGTTGTCCTGAGGGATGTGAGGTAAACCTCTGTGTGAGAAAAGCCTCGTGTGAGAAAGCTGCAGTGTGAAGGCTGCTGCGTGTAAAGCTACTATATATTTGTGTTATGGAAACGTTCTTGTAAATAGTGCAACCATATTATTTTGCTACAAAGAAAAGTTAGTGGTGTCCTGAGGGATGTGAGGTAAACCTCTGTGTGAGAGAAGCCTCGTGTGAGAAAGCTCCAGTGTGAAGGCTGCTGCGTGTAAAGCTACTATATATTTGTGTTATGGAAACGTAGTTCTTGTAAATAGTACAACCATATTATTTTGCTACAAAGAAAAGCTAGTGTTGTCCTGAGGGATGTTATGTAAACCTCTGTGTGAGAGAAGCCTCGTGTGAGAAAGCTCCAGTGTGAAGACTGCTGTGTGTAAAGCTACTATATATTTGTGTTACAGAAACGTAGTTCTTGTAAACAGTGCAACCATATTATTTTGCTAGAAAGAAAAGCCTCCTATGGAAGAGATAACATTGGTCTGTGTGTTTTTGTTCTTTTTATCACTTTGGGCTCCTGGTGCCAGATGACGCTGCTGCTACTAATTTACTCTGCTGTGCATTTATGAGGAGGGTCTTTCATTAATAAGCCCACTAGCTCAACACTTTTAAATATATATTTTGTTTTATTTGCAACCCAGTGGGAATATAGCAATGAATTAAAAAATTGAAGCATGTGGCTAAACAGCTATGTGGCTTTAGTGGTTAAGTATTAGGGTCTTGAAGTGACATTGGTTATTTTCTTATGGGAGTTGTAGTTCAACTTTATCTATAAGGTCTGAACGATTTCCATCCCTGTCCTAATTGCACCCTTAGGGTTGTTCCTTGCTTAAGAAAACTATGACATTCATGGGGTTACTATAAGCCAGCAGTTGACTTGAAAGCACATACACTACAATTCAGCCTGGGGTGGTTGCATATCCTTGTGGTAAATCCTGTGTTGCTACCATATAGTGCATAAATGACCTTCACATTCCTTTCCTTTGTGTGTGTTTTTTGGCACAGCTTTCTGTATCCCCTGATGCAAGACGGAGTCATCTCTTCACATATAACCTCTTCGTAAAGAAAACCCCATCCACTGGAATTATGCAATATATAACTGTTCCCCAAAAGAAGAGGATTTTTACCACACAAAGCCTAAGGATGAAAATGTTTAGCAGCAACATCTGTTAATACAAATATGTGTCATTTGTCTTTTTAATTCCTTATAACCTATTACTAACCTTCATCCAGAAAAAGCCTCTGAAAAGATGTTTCACTCCAAGGTTGTGGCTGCAATGTAACTCATGACACTGTCAAGAGGCGCACAGGATTCATGATATTTGATGAACTACTAGGGGCGTATTGAAGTGTTTGTGGTGCTAACTCACTCTTGCCATGTGAAATAGCCTTACGGGACTGAAGAGCCTATCCCCAACTTTTCTAGCTATGGCCAGGATTAACATGTGCTTTTGGTGTGCCTTGCCACCTTCCTTTCACTCACATGTTCTTACAAACCCTGACAGCCTTTACTTGTTGCCCCTGCCTATCTTTTTACTGATCCCTACTCTTAGGAGTTGCCTTTTATTTTGTAAACATGGGTCTTCATTACATTAATTTGCAACTGAACTGACTTTCTGTATAACTTATGGGAAGATGATTTGATACTTACTTATTCTTACATTCTTGATTGTGCTCTTCATTTAACTGAGGAGTAAAATACAGTCAGCCCTCCACATTTGCTGGGGTTAGGCACACAAGACTTCCATGAAAGCAAAGAACTGCAAATAACAATTTTATTGTATTTTTTTCACCTGAGAGAACATCTAAGAATCTATAGGTTTTTCATATCATAGAATTGTAGTGGAGACTTAGAGAGGTATTCTCCCTAGGAATCTCTAGGTCAGTGGTTCTCAACCTGTGGGTCCCCAGGTGTTTTGGCCAGTTTACTAGCTGTTAGGATTTCTGGGAGTGGGGACTCACAGGTTGAGAACCACTGCTCTAGGTCTTTCTGGCAGATTCTATTATCAGTTTCTAGCAGAAGTTGACCATTGACCACAGAGTTGTACTGGAGGACCTAAAGATTCCTAGGGAGAACACTTAAATCAACTCTACCAAAGTGAATGGCTGACTATCTGATTCAGTGGTGTTCTAAAACTGATACTCCTGAGCAGTTCAAATAATTTTATTTCTAACGTGATAGCACAGGTGAATTGGCCAGTAGTGTTGGCATTACATTAAAAAGCTCTAGGACCAATATATGGTCGAAGGCTTTCATGGCCGGAATCATTGGGTTGTTGTAGGTTTTTTCGGACTATATGGCCATGTTCTAGAGGCATTCTCTCCTGACGTTTTGCCTGCATCTATGGCAAGCATCCTCAGAGGTAGTGAGGAACTTCACTACCTCTGAGGATGCTTGCCATAGATGAAGGCGAAAATCAGCAGCTGTCAACTCTGTCAGCAGCTTGTTCTATCCAGCTCAGTGCCTACGAATTCTACAGCCAGTACTTTTGAAAAAACAAAGGTTTCAGCCATTTTATATTTGGGAAAAGAGGCACTGCTGTCCTTTCTGAATGATGTGACTAGCACTCTCTTGCAGTGTAGTGAAAATAAAGAGTGATGGTCACATTTCAAGTCACTGGTACGAGTTCAGTGAAGTTTGCAAAGCCATTTAAACTAACGATTTGGGTGTAAATTAGGAAGCATCGGTTAAACTTCAAAAGAAGCTTCTCCAGCCTCTTCCCTGGATCATTTATGACCCTTTTGTTGAACATTCCTCTTTTTTCTATACAAGGGATCCAGGCCACATCATGTAAGTCCCACAAAGTCTTGAAGTAAGTGAAGGGTAACTCCTTCAACTCTGCACAGAGCTCAAATGCATCCACCAAATAAGATCTGGGATTGGTGGAAAGTTATTACAGTCAGCCCTCCACAGTGGTGGGTTTAACTATTGCAGATTTGATTTGCTAATGTTTCCTCTGCTGCTGCACAGATGTGTTTCCAGTGCTTCTCTCCACCGAGGAAGACCAATCCATCTGTGCAGAAGAGAAATGAAGGCATTGAGTGAGGAGGCCTTGGCTGATGAGTGGGCAGATAGAGTCAAAAGGCCCCTTGGGGGTAAAAGGGAGGCTCACCATAGGTTTTCCTTACCCACAAAGGATCTTCCTGTGGTCCTGGACTGCAAAAGTGGGGACTGATGGAAATAGATGTGGCTGTCTCACATCTTCAGAAGAAATCCTGAGATGGTAGCTGTGACTTTCTGTGCTTTCCCTTCCATACCTCTGGCTAACTAGTGATGCCAGCTACAGGAAAGCCATGACTTAAACCCCATGTCCATTCCTCTGAAGTGGAGATGGATTGGGAAGAGCAGTGGTCTGGGAGTGGGATTAAAGGAGGTATGGGCTGGGGAAGGGGACTGAAAGGGTCAACAATTACACTATAGGAGGCTTTTGCAGCACCTCATCATCTGAGGTGAGGATGCCAGAGGGCAGTAGAGAGAGCCTCAGAGTGAGAGAGTTAAGTTCTCTACCTCTCCCATATCTGTAAATAACAACATAAATAATGCAAGTGGATTATCTGACTCATGTTTTATAATTATATTAGCTTGCAATTAAGTTTGTGAGCTATATTAAGAGCAGGAAATCCTCTAAGGGGGGTTCCTTCTAAGAAACATGCATTCTAACATCATCTGGAGAGTTACGACTCCTCTTTTCTGGCTCAGCATGACCAGGAATGATAGGGACCACAGTTGGACGCTACTTGGAGTGCCACAATTTCGCCCCTCTTCTAAAGCCTTCTAGTCCATCTTCCTGGATCATTACTTGCTTGTGTTGGCCTGGCCCAGACATTTTTCTTGTCTGACAAGACAAGTGACAAGGGTAAGAATTTGTCCTAGCACTGCAGTAAATGCCAGTATAAATGGGGCCTAGTTTATACTCTTAAGCTTAATTTAAGAGCTTGTAGGTTGTTCTACAGTAAAACCTGTTTGACAGTGTCAACAATTTAGGATAAACAGTTTTGTGTATTTATTACTCATTTTAGAGCAATAGTTCAGTGAAACTTCAGCTGCCTTTGGGCATCGACAGGCTTTTAAAGTGTGTGGTGGAAAAACACAAAGTAAGGAAGTCATGTCTCTGCATGTATACAAAGGCCTCTAAATGGACAGATTTTAAGTTTGAATAATACAGACCTCCTATAGAACATTTGACAAGAACTTACCAAGTCTGCACTGATGTTTTGTAACACTGCCTTTAATAAAATATTCACAGTACAGAGTCATGGTTCTTAAGTATGTTCTATTAGAATTGTGGCAACTAGATCATTCCTGGTGCGATTTCTAGGTCATAGGGCAAGCTCACTGACAGCACTTTAGGCTTACATGATTGTCTTGTCTGGTAATCAACTGAGCCTGGAATTCTGTAAGAATGCTTAGGCTATGCACATACGTATCAGCCACATATTTAAATGGAGCAATTTGAAACCACTGGGCTGAACATTCTTGTCTCTGAAGCAGCAGAAAGTAAACCAGAGGGGAATAGGTGAGCTCAGCTAATGTGATAGCAGTCTTTACATGTTGGAAATCTCCTTTCTTAACATGTTTTCTGTAGGCTGTGCAGTTTGGGGAGGGAATTGGGGTTCCTCTCCCAAGTTACTCAGCTCCACAACTTTTCAAAGGAAGCCTCTGCACAGGCTACAAGTAGTTCCTTTTCTTGGGGCAGGTTAGAAAGCTCTTGCAAAAACCAGGTGTCACAACAAATGTCCATCTTTGGAAGCTATTTGCAGTTGACATTAGATGACAGCTACCTCCCATAGTGTAACGTGGAAGAAAATGGGCATTTATGGTACCCTCAAGTTTTCAAAGCATGTAGAAATATTGAACAGTACTGAATACACTGGCCAACACACACTTTGGTGTCTCAAATGTTAGGCCTATTTCTGACCTGCTGATTTCAAAAATGGCATCAGTTTTCCCTTATCGACTCAAGTTTTTTTTTTGAGATAAAGAACATATGCCATATACCAGTCTTCATCTGCCCACCCATTAAGAAATCATGATAACCATAGAGCTGATGCAATCTCTCCAATGCAATGTTTTGAATCAGAATCCCAGATAAACCCAGGAGCAGGCCTAAAATCAAGACATCAAGAAAAATATTTTTTTGCTGGACTATGTTACCAAAGCAAACTGGTCATAAGGATAACATATCCAGACCCAGAGGTAGCTTTTAGACTGCTAGTTTCCTTCTCTTTTGAAAACAGATTGTACTCTAGTCCTTTGCAATAATGAAGACATAGAGCATCACTCTTAATTTTTATTTCTTGTCAGGAACCGTTCCCTAACGGATTATTGAGGCAGAGTGCGATATCACTGTGTTGCCTTGCCAAAGACAGGGAAAAGGGTAAGATCCCAGGGAAAAGACCATATCCATGGTAGCTTGTCTAGGGAGGACCTAGCCATTTCAAGTGAAATAGACATATTTAGCCCCAACTTGCGGTATTAAAACATCTACAAACAAATCAAAAATGCATTTTCAGTATTATGAGCTTGCTCATTTTTAGCATAACAAGAATTACAACCACAGAATAGAAGAGGTTAGATTGAAATATTTATTATCACAGGAATTTAAAAATATTTTTAACCATAAGTCTGCTTCATCACAGTGCAGAAGGCTCTTACCATCTTCAAGATTTTATAAAAACATACAAAGAAACGTTTATGCACAATCTGCATACATTCTTTCTACCTAATCCCTTTATGCCAAAGATGGGCAAGCCTTTGCCCAAAAGATCTGCTGCTATGATTTCAGTCACATAAAATACATTTGACTTGCCATGGTCTGCACTGAGCCAACAAAACAGGACTGATTTTGTACTAAATGTGAGATCTGGCTCAATCATGAAGAGCTAGGTACATTAATGAAAATGTTTCAGGTTATAATCAAAGACCATATTTTTTCTATTTTTAAAATTAGGGTTTGCTTCTTTTAAAGGTTCTACTTAAGCTCAGTGGATCCCCCCAAAAGTCAAATAGAAGTACTGCAGAAAATGAATGGTAACCAAAAAGACAGTTGTAACGGCACCTGCCATATCTGAACAACTAATTTTTCAACTTGTCTATGGAGCTCCCGATCCTGTCTATGTCAGTCATATGTTAATATTTACTGTGGTAACAACTAAGTCGTTTCTCCAGACTACAGATTTTATCCCAAATTACCTTGATCTTGAGCCATTTTGCTTTAGGACCTAGACATTCCAAGAAATATATTTCCCTGCTTAAAATACATGTTATTCATTTTTCCCACTTTCACGGGGGTCCTGTGCCCCAAACTCTGACAATATGGAGGGCTTATCATAGTTCAGGAAGTTTTGGGTTCAGTTGTAACTTTTCCATCGAGTTGAGATATATATGTATATGTATATCCAACTAGTTACAACCACTTATCCAATCAGTGCCTTCTCCTGCCCTCTTTCATTCATCCATATTGCCCTCACCCGAGAAGCCAGGTGCTCAGAGAACTGCATTACGGGGAAATGAATACAGCAACCACTCAGCTAACATAAGACCAAGACAGCACTGTCTAAGGCAGTGGTTTTGGCCTTCAACTCCCAGAAATTCTAACAACTGGTAAACTGGCTTTGATTTCTGGGAGTTGTAGGCCAAAATACCTGGGGACCCACAGTTTGCAAACCACTGGTCTAAGGCAACCTGGAAATGCCAGCAATAGGCTCAACCATAGTGGTAGCCCTAAGTAAAGCAGACCTATTGAATCAGAGGAAATTATGTGGTCACTGACCATATGACAACGGGCACTTTAATAGAAACTAACACTAGGATTCAGTCCAATGAAAGCTGGGGTAGATGCGTCCTTATGGGCAACATTACTGGGGGATGGGACTCCCAACAAACCCTCTCACTTGCTAGGCCCTGATGTCCAGATTGCTTTAGGACATGAGAAAACCAACTTGTACAGTTCTAGAATGCAGCAGCAGCTAGGCGGATCCCTAAATACACCATTGTGGTGATCTTGCCGTTTGCTCAATTTCCCATGTAAGAAAAGAATAAACACAGCCATGAAAACACATAATCTCCAACATATTGCAGTAAAATTCCTCCAGATGAAAGGGAATTGTGAAAGATAAAAGCTGTGCTCTTAGACAAGTCCCATTCAATTTTACAGGGCTGACTAGCCAGCAAATAAAGAACATGTCAAATTCTCTGTTATCTGGCATTTTGTGCCCGTCACTTGGACGCATTTCCTTACATTTATGTATAAAATGCTCCATTTAAGTGATATATTGCACATAAAATTTTGAACTGTGTTGCAAAGATACAATGTTCTTCAGAATTTAAAATAGCTCTACCTGTACAGTAAATACTAAAAATTTTAAAACTCATTATCACCCAAAATTGATGCACATAATACTGACAAAGTTTTTAAATTGGACAATATACATATAAATTACATTTGTAAATGTGTACAATTAAATACCATAAAATTCCACAAAGAAGCTGTATTGCTGGCAAATTTCTCGTTTATACCACCAGAAAACACCATCCATGAAAACAAAAAAGCTGCAGTTAGACAAAGCACTGAAAAGAGTTAAAGCATTTCTGCTTATAGAGGTAGTGCCAGCCACGTCCAACTAGAAATTTACCTTCAGACCCAAACAGAACAATGTAGTAAAATGTAAAAAGACTATAAAATTTACAAAAATAAATAGCTTCAAATATTTTACAAAATGTGGGGGGGTTTACCACCAAGCATTTCATTGGGAAGAGATCTGTAAGCTTTTAAATATTTTTAAAATATATTGGTATTTACAGGGGCTGTAAATCTGAAAACAGACCTCCACTGAATGCCAATGAAAATTTAATATTAAATATTAAAAATAGAATCTTTAGAATTCAGAAGATGTTTTCCCCTTATGAAAATTGTTGTTATGCAAATTTCTTCTGACAGATTAAAAATTGCACATTTTTTAAAAGTAAGAACTTTGGGAATAAAGAGGCTGTTGCAAAGGACACATTCCTCACTATATCCCAGAAGGACTACAAAATGAACGATTGCACAATTGATTTAATAAATACTACATTTTATATATGACAACTTGCCATTTTTTTGGTTTATATGTGAGTTTTAGAGAATCACTCAAAGATAATGCCTCTAGCTGCTATTTGGCCTATCGCATAGCAGCTTGTTTCCTTCCACTTCCTGGTTGTCTTCAGACCAGCACTGCCTGGCAGCATGGAACAGGGAATCTTTGGATTTTTAAAGAAGTGTCATGATCCTACAAGTATCTCCATGATATGGTCCAAATCACTGAGATCACTTCTACCTATTGGGATGTTGCTTGCTGATGATGAGTTGCAAGAGGGGAAGGTTTTGAAGATCTCCTCCGTGCTCGCCACAGGCAAGGCTCTCGAAGGAGCCAATGGGGGGCAGTCAAAGTCTGAATCATACATCGAAGTATCAATATCTTCAAAGATGTCATCGATAGCCAAGTCTTTCAAGTAACTGGTTGAATTTGAAATTTCAAAGGATCCAAATGCACATTCCACACCTTTCAAGTCTTGTCTCTCATCATCCAACCTCAGACATGGCATTTCCAAAGCCTTCGACTGATCATCTCCAGACCCAGCAAGGTATGTAGGGGGGCTCACATCTTCCATGAAGTCCAACTCTTTCAGGATTGAGGAAATGGCTGATGACATGTCATTGTCAGAAACCATCAACAAACTATTTTCCATGGGGCTTTCCATCGGTCGTGCTTCATAACCACTTGATTCCTGCTGATTCATGCCTGGGAAAAAGTGAGAAGGCATGCCCAACAAATCCAAATTCAGGTAACCAGAAGGGCTGGTGCTGAGACCGCCACACATATTAACAAGCTGCTGGCTAGTTTCTTGCCTCATTTCTTCCTGGATTTGCCGGACAGTGTTGGCTATGAGGACAGAGCGGTGCAAATTAGGCTCCACCAGCATCTTGTACATCTGAAGTTTGGCGAGGCACACATTGAGCACCAGCTGCCTCTTGAGCGGATATGGCAGGTTGCGACTGGAATCAAAGGCACTTGACACACCAGCCATGTTTTCTTCATAATCACTCAGCTTGCGTTTTAGACCCCTCCCCAACATGAACCTAAAATGACAAATAATAAGAATTGATAAACTGATTTGCATGACACAGTCCACCATACAGTAAAACAAGTATTTATCTCATTTACAACATTTCCATCCAGTCGTCCTTCTGCATGATGGTGGCAATGACTCAGGTTAGATAAGAACGTACCAGATAGAACATACCAGGAACCTTATGATCCTGGTTTCTACTTATCAATATATTTGGGGTTAAGCAGGAATCAAATCTAGAGTGGGTCAACTGAGAGGAAGAATATTATTTAACACTGGGAAAATGCATAAGCCATTCACATCAGTACCTATTTAACTGGAAGGGTAGTCAGGCCTTTTCATATGCCACCGATTTTAAATCTGATTTTCCAAGTACCCCCCCCCCCCACCTTAATTTTACACCCAACTACCTTCTAATACTTGAGGTTGTTAGGAGACATTTAGATACAGATGGTCAAAGCCTAATGAAATATCAGCAGCCTGAATTTGTGAACAGGATTCCTAATAGTTAATGCAGGAAGACATATAGCTTCTTTCTGTTTCATAACAAGCAAAGTAAACATTGTAATGCAGAGTTACATAATTTTTTAAACTACTCTTTTGTATAATTTTGTGATTTCAATGCCCATTTAGAGGCCAAGGATTCTTTCCCATTCTTATGAAGATATGAAACAATTTTGAAATGTCAGTGTTTACCTTTTGCAATTTGAATTACATTTCTTTAAAAGTTGAACGGGCTGAGTTCTTGAAACAGTTTTGACCATATATTCTTCTATCGCATGCCTGTAAACTATGGTTCTTGGCAGATATAGAAAGAGCTCAAACAGCAACTATGAAAAGCTTGCCTCTACACTCATGTTACACAACTGTTTAAGACTTAACAGCATGGATAGAAGCAGCATAAAAGTGTATGTTACTGCAATAGTTTTTCTGCTCTATTTTTTCCAATCATGAAGTGCATTAGAGACAACTTTAAGCACTTAAAAAGAAATCTAAAAAGGAAAATGAATAGGAGGAAGAAAGGAATGATCCTGTCAAAGTTCCCCAAATTAAAGACTGGAAAGGAACTAAAACATAGTAGCCATTTCCCAACCTGATGCCCTCCAGATGTTAGACCAGAGCTTTTGATCCTACCTAATGAACTGGCAAATACATTATTCATTTCAAATGAGTTAGCTATTTGACCAAAGAAGTCCACACTCTGCAAGGTGTTATAGAATCATGGAAGAGACCAAGAGGGGTCATTCAGGGCAACCCCCAGCCATGCAGGAAAAGCCCAATCAAATTACCTCTTACAGCTGGCCATCCTGACTCTGTTTAAAAACCTCCAATGAAGGAACCCCCACTTGTACTGTATTTGAATATTTTGTTTGTATATGCAAATACAGGTATTCCAAAATCCGAGGCGGCGGGGGGGGGGGGGACAAACCCAAATCCAAAACATTCCTGGTTCCAAATATTTTGGATGAAAGATACTCAACTTCTCTCTTCACCAGCTACTTGCTGTAGTCCCCAACATTTTCGCATAACTAATGAGACATTTGGGGATCCTGGAGATTGGATCCAAGTCTAAACATGCAATTAAGCACACAGAAATCAAATGCCCCTCTGCCACAAAAGGGGAAGAACCAAAACCAACAATATTATATTACACAGGGACAGAAATGCCTGGATGCACATTGAGCACATACTAGTACAGAAATACAGGGAGATCTCAATGGGCATGTCACATAATATGTGAGCTTTTATTTGTATCAGGAGCAACTTGAGAAACTTGCAAGTCGCTTCTGGTATGAGAGAATTGGCTGTCTCACATGACTGCATCAAGTGGAGGATGTGCTCTTTATGGCTTTATGTATATAATGTCATATAAGAACTGAGACATAGTTAATGCTGTCCATATTGAAGTGAAAATAAACTATTCAAATGATTTAAACGTGAAAATTCTTCCCCCAATTCTTTCATTCTTGAAGCATTAGAAATGCTATTCCTGAGCCCCACTTCTGAAAGGAGTAACCTGTCTTAACTGCTAGTTACAGCAAAGTAGCTGCTATTGCATCACAGAAAGCAATAATTAAATGAATAATCTGTAGCACAAAGCAATTAAAAGCTCCCACTGCTTTTGTTTTAGCCTCATGCCCCCTCCTGTACTTGTGACACAATTTTCTGATGAAAACAATGCACACACAGATATAAATATTAGGATAAATGCACATAAAATTCATACTTCGATTCAATCTTTTAAAACACAAACTGATGTGATGTGATAGATCTAAGATGGAAAAAGAGAAACTGACCAAAATCCAAAATGAAATATTCATCCGTATCTAATTAGCCAGCCCGAAACTCATCAAAATTAGAGCTGCAATTACTCCACTGTACTCAGCATTTGTTTACTAGACCTAGAATTCAAGAGGAAACCATTTTACAGTTTCCCAGACAGGCTCCTTTGTCAGCTATTAACAAAGAATTAACAAGGCTCCATTTACAGAGGATGTCTCAAGTGGCCTTGACACAGAAGAGCACTAATTGCCATTTTCACCCCACTTCTCTGTTTAACATAGTTTTCAAAATCAAAGAAACATGAAACATAAAATACAAAAAAATAAGGTATAACACTGTAAAAGACAGCACTACATATATCAATTCAACAATAGTTTAAAAATAATTTTAAACAAAATTCACCAGTGACAATGACAAAAATATATAGCCATCTGCTTTGATATATGAATTTGTCCAATTGAGATGTATAATAAATAATTTCCTAGTCCTTCTTGGATTGAAAATATAAGTAAATTTGTATGAAACAAAGGTGTTCAAACTTCCTCTTCTGAAAAAAAAGCAAAGGCTTCTCACCACTCAGCCACTAAAAAGGGACTATGGCTAGTAGCATCGTCTACAAGACTTTGGAATAATTCCTGGGCAATTTGGAGGCATAGGAAGCAAAATGGGATGTGTAGCCTCACCCATTCAAGCAACCAGAGAGTCAATTCTCAACCCCTGGCAGTTATGCACACAGTAAAGTTTGCTAATCTTAAGCAGGTAGAAATTTAAGAGTTGGAAGAGACCACAAGGACCATCCAGTCCAACCCGACATGCAGGAAAAACACAAAGCACCCCCAAAAGATTGCTATCTAGCCTCTGTTTAAAAGCCTCCAAAGAAGGGGTTTCACCACACTCCAAGGCAGAGTTCCACTGTTCAACAATTCTTACAGTCAGGAAGTTCTTCCTAATGTTCAGGTGGAATCTTCTTTCCTGTAATTTGAACAAATTGCTCCAAGCCCTAGTTTCCAGGGCATTGGAAAACAAGCCTGTTCCTTCTTCCTTATGGATCTGACCAGGTCCTGGATGAAACACTAGCACAGAATTGTATTCCTACCATCCTAGGCTCCCTGGAGAAAACTAAAATAGGCAACATTGCAGTTTTTAACAGAAAGGCCTTGAGAGGAAAAGAAAGAAATGGTTCGCTTCTGAAAACAAACAGGCTCATTTAATTTCAGGCACTATGAAATTGCAAAAAAAACTTCTAAGATTAACATCCCATCCCCTTGTGGCACATGTTTGCTCTATATAGCTGGAATTGTGCATTTCTTTATGAAGTGTGCATTTACAGAGCAGATAACTTTGTTGGTGTGCATTCTTTTCTTGACGGCATTGCCGCTGTTGCCCTAAGGCACTACAATGAAGGAACACCTTTTGAGCAATGGTTCCTAAAACAGGTTGCAGAGGGACACCGTTTCTCCTTCATCACAAGCATGACAAATATTAAACCTATTTGCTAAGAAAAAGATGAAAAAAGAGGGCCCGTTTCCCATAAGATAGTTCTATGAATCGCAAAAGGCAGGCCTTGAAATGCAAAACATATATACATAAATACATTCAGCATCGTGGTGCTAACAATAATAATAATAATAATAATAATAATAATAATAACAACAACAACAACAACTTTATTTTTATACCCCCACCTCTGTCTCCCGAAGGGACTCGGGGTGGCTTACATGGGGCCAAGCCACAATTTAAAACATAAAACAAGCATCAAAATCAAGAGCAATAACATAATTCAAGTCTCAATATGGCTGGACCGCCTGGTGCACAACAGCCTGGAGGATAGGGCCAATGAGTAAAGTGCATAGGGCGTGTCGCAGCATTAAGGATAAGAGCAATATAAAAGAGGTCAACTCTAATTTTGGATAAAATGGTAGTGAAGTGCATAATCAGATTTTTGGGTCCTACTGTGGATGTATGCCTTTATGCAATTTTCAGGCAAGAGGTGAGAACTAACCTGATAAAACATTACTCTGTATTTCACCCTCCTGTCCATACAATCCTTGCATAAAGAAAGACAATATCACAGAAATGATTTCCGCCTAGGTTTTTCAGGAATCTTGGGTGTGTCTGTAGAAACTTCACTGCATGATCTATCACCTGAAGTTAAACTGTTTATAGTTCAAGCACAGATTTACCACTTATGCTGTTTTAGAAATAACTCCCTATACCTTATCAAGGGAGACCTCTTTATTTGATTCACTGAACTATTTAAGGATTCCTGTTGTTCTCCCAGTTGTAATACTGTGTTGTGTAAAATATCTGTAGGAAATGAGATATCTAATTTCATGAGAGGCAGAAATGAGCTAAAGATCACAACTCACAACCTCTGAAATTGCCTGCCATAGATGAGGGGGAAACATCAGGAGCGAATGCTTCTGGAACATGACTACACAGCCCAGAAAACTCACAGCAACCCAGTGATTCCGACTATGAAAGCCTTCAATAACAGAAAGAACAGATTGTTCAGTACAGTCACTTTTCCTTTTCAAAAAATTAATTTTGAGGGGAAAAGCCACAAGCTAGTTCATACACTAACACTGCTTTTTGAGCTAGGAAAGACAATTACAATTTATGACCAGTTTAGAGATAATAGCTCCTGGTCAAAAACAACTACTTTCTCACAATCATTTCTGAAAAAAATTGTATCGGAAATTATTATCCAAATCTTAGTTTTCCCTGTCATTAGACTAGAAAAACAACTTTTTTCTAATTGAATTACTTGTTTCTTTCTTATCAAGTGGTAAGCGTTATAGTTCAATACCTCTAAAATTCATATAGGTATTTTGGAAATACAATACAGGGCCCAATTTTTTTCTTTTTCTGGAAAAACAAGGTTTCAAGAAAAAAGCAATTTCCCCCATTTTCCCCAAGATTTAAGCTGGTGAGTGACCAGCTTAAAGTGCATTTCCCTCCTAAGGCCAACCCAAAACCACTCAAACTGAAGGGAAAAATGTACCTCATAACAAAATTAACTGTTCAAAATGAACTATAAGGGGAGTAGGTTTTAAATACCAAATGCAACCTCCAGTTGCAATAATGTTCTTGCTCTTTGAAAGATATATCATCATTCTAAAGCAATGTCTAAGGACACAAATTATACGGTTGTGATCTCATATTATTTTGCTCACATTTGCAACCCAAAACACAACAAAAATATAAACAGTAGCAAATAGGAAAACAGCATTTACGTAACTGCTTGATGAAGAGTACATATAGTGCTCCTAAGATAAGGGCTCAAGATGTATCCAGGGAAGAAAAAAAATCTTTTTGCCAAGGATCAAAACAAGAGGCAGAAAAGAATGACTGTTCGATACACACTGAAAACAGAAACCTCCAGGACCTCAATCCACAAAGCTGGGGACTCTAGCATTCCAAAGATTTTGGGCACCAATTTTCCAAAAGCCCAAATCCTAATGATATGAAGTTCTGGAAGCTATAGTACACAAAACACCACAACACATGCAATTTGAAAAGGGAGCATAAAACCTCCTTAAAAGGTTTAAAATAGAAGATAAACAGTGGAACTCAACTGGGAAAACTAAGTGTATAAATCAATTTCAGCACAACTGAAAGAAAATACTTTGAAAATAATGCATAGATTGTACTATTAGCCACTTAAATAGCATTGGATTAATAATGAAATATCTAAACTATGTTGGAGAAAGTGTGATGAAATAGGGGACTGGACACGCGTGTGTTTAACATGCCTAGGAGTATGATGATTCTGGAATGAAGTTCTCCTTGGGAGAAGCTAAATAGTGGGGGGGAACAATACATTCCAAGGGAGTTCTATTAATGATTTCCGTATTTAAAAGTAAAAGGATTTGGTAAATAAAAGTCTTATATTGCTCATGTTATGTGTCGCAAAACTTGAAATAGTCAGAACCTAAAACAAATGAGAGACTGTAAAAATGAAGAACTCGTTAAACAAGATTTGGGCTATACCTCTAATGGAAAAATTAAGATTAGCAAAAGGAAAAATAAAAATATCTATTTGATAATAAATGGAAACTATTTATAAGCTTCATGTTTAAAAGTAATAGCAAATTCAAACCACCCAAACAACCAAGAAAGATTGTGGATGAATAATTAGTAAATGTATTATAATAATTATACCCAATGGATAAAATTAGAATAAGTAAAACTAATAAAACTGAGAGAGCTGTATTTCTATAATGCTAAATGAAGGATGTTGTGGGGTAGGGAACATGTATAGGTGGATCAGAGAATAGACAATGTAACAAAACAATTGCAGTATGCTGTTTTGAAATAAGTTACAGTTTTAAAATATTTTAAAACCCTCCAAAAAGGAAGTCATCCAATTTACCTTTTGAGTGCTTCATCAAACATAGTCAATGTCAGGGGCAAAAGTAAGGGAACTAAGAACAATGAACTGCATTGTGTATATACAGTTCTGCAACATTAAGCCTATTTGTATAGTATTTAAATCTGAACTTGTAAATATTATTGAATTATACTGAAATGTAATTTACTTTATGACACCCCATCTTCTGAAGTTGGCACTTAGAACATGCACAGAACACTACCACACAAATAAAATGAGAAGTTCTCCAAATGTACAGCACATGCTCCACATAACACTTCCATAACTGCTCAGTTAAAGCAGCAAAGAGCTGAGATACATAGAATCATAGAATAAAAAAGTTGGAAGAGACCTCATGGGCCATCCAGTCCAACCCCCTGCCTAGAAGCAGGAATATTGCATTCAAATCACCCCTGACAGATGGCCATCCAGCCTCTGTTTAAAATCTTCCAAAGAAGGAGCCTCCACCACACTCCGGGAGAGTTCCACTGCTGAACGGCTTTCACAGTCAGGAAGTTCTTCCTCATGTTCACACGGAATCTCCTTTCTTGTAGTTTGAAGCCATTGTTTCACGTCCTAGTCCCCAGGGAAGCAGAAAACAAGCTCCCTCCCTCCTCCCTGTGGCTTCCTTTCACATATTTATACATGGCTATCATATCTCCTCTCAGCCTTCTCTTCTTCAGGTTAAACATGCTTAGCTCCTTAAGCCGCTCCTCACAGAGCTTGTTCTCCAGGCCCTTGATCATTTTACATATTACAGGATGCTTTTTTTCTTTCTGTCCCAGCATCAAAGAGAAATAGCTCATGTTTTAATACATTTTCAACTTCAAATCTAGGCTATAAGAGGGCAGAGAGCCACTGCAGGCAAGCATACTGACAGCCTCCCACACTCCAGCAAATCCATCTGACCAATACACATTTTTTGTTCTTCAAGGCACACTTATCAGATAACACAAGGTGTGTTTTCCCTCCCTTCTCTTCCCAAACCAGCTCTATTCATAATGGCCAATAGTGAACATCATCAGGAGAGCCACTGTTGGCCACTTATGCAGGGGATTCACGAATCTATCAAAGAGCAAATGGGAGTACATGGGTCATAACTGCTGATCATGGGGTGGGTCTACCATGTGGTCCCTACAGAATGGAGTTGATCCTGTACTTGCAGAAAAGAGGTCTGTAGAGAACAGAAAGAGACAGTAAGTAATAAGCAAGAGTTACAGCACACCATCTGTGTACTTGGATGCACAGTGGGTATTTGAGAAAGTGTGGGAGAAGAATGGGTGTTGCCACCAATTGGTCTGCCAGTGCTTATGCCTCAGCATAAGCTTCACTTTCATAGAGGAGTATACACACCCTTCCCTCCTCGGCAGTCATAGTAGAACTGGGTCTCCTTTTGGTGATGGATTGTTCTGCTCCATTCATCTGGACCGTGATCCTGCAAAGCAAAAATATGCAGGAGCATTGACTAACAGCCTGGTCTTTGCTGGAAAAATGCTTACCCACAAATAGGATGGGTATTTTCCTTATCTATGGATAATACCACTTTCCAATATTTGAGCAAGCATTTGAAGTGTTGGAAAAAATCTGCCAAAGTAGTCACACTCTGTAGCATGTCTGCCCCTTCCCTTGCTCACCTGGGTTAGGAGTCCTGTCTTGATATACCCCAGCTTGAGAGTGGGTTGCTGTTGGATTTTTGCTCTGCAGTCAAAAGGCGAAGTACCTCTAAGAATTCTAAACGAAGACATCACACAAAATGTGGTCAACATTCCCTATGTGTTCTGGGGAAAGAACAGTTTGTGCCCTTTCTCCTTTGTGAGCTCTGAGAGTACACAACATGAAGTTAGAGAGTTGGAGAAGAAAATCTCAAAATTCTTGGCCACATCTTCACAATAAAATGTAGAATATGGGTGCGCTGTGAGTTGTACTATATTCTACATTCTTTTGTGAAGATGTGGCCAAGAATTTTGAGATTTACTTCTCCAACTGGATTAAAGGGTTATTTTCTTGCACCTTATCTGGAGCAGCCACAAATCTATCAGTACCATCCACAACACTCAACTATTTAAGACTGTTTGCCACTGCATCCTGGCCAGCAGAGTACAAAACCTAGTATTAGCATTTCCTAAGCAAAACAAGTTCATTCGGCAAGTATGTCTACCATAGCAATGACACAACTTGGGCTTTAACAATTTGCAGAGCTTCCACCAAATCCTATGAAAACTTATGAAACATAACTTAAATATTAGAGTATTGTGACCTGAACCAATGAAAAGTTAACTGATTTTCTGGCTTTGCTTTTATCTGAAAAGTTCCTGATCACAGATACGCTTTCAGACAACACTACAAATGAAACAGAAAGTTGCTTAGATGTCAACACAATGAAATATGAAAATGTATTGCAGTTCAGTGTATTTTAGACCAACAGAGCCTTTCCTCAGGTTTCCCTGAAGGAAACAGACAGAAACATTTCTTCTGAAGATGTGTCCCACAATGATCTGGATTGTGATGTAGTAAGTTATCACTCTTCGCATTTTCAGAACTAGATTCCCTTGTTTGCCTTGTATTTTCTTTTAAAGTTTGCTGACTAAATAGAGATACAAAGACAAGGGAAAACAGGAAAATGATCTTCCCCTTGTTTTTTCAAATTTCCTTGTTTAGAAAGAGAAATACACATTTTCAAAGGATTATGGAATATTTTCTTCTAGAAATATGAATAAAGTGTTTAAGACAAAGTGTTCATATAATTATGCCCCAGAAATTTTATCTAAAAATTGTGTAAAGAGGCTTTTCTGTAAGATTGTATACAGTATCAGATCACTGCAATTTTTAGTCTTGATTTTATTTCTCTGTTCTTTTTCTGGGAATGTGTGCTTTATGTCTCCCTGACAATATGGAGAATGAGAGGAAAGAAAAGAATGTTTTGGGTTTTTTGTTGTTTTAAACATACAATTAAAAAGAAAGCGGTTTTGAACATCTACAAAGTATTAGTATCATATCTATCTCTATCTATCTATCTGAACATTTTTTTAGAAAACATGTCTTCTATTGCTTCAAATTTTCAAGAATTTTACTTCTCTGTATATGACCCATTGTTTTATTGAACTGATTATCTCTTAACTCCTAAGTCAATTCCTAACTTAGATTTCTGTACATTCTTTATGGCTTAAAACCAGGTGATCTGAACATTAGAAGAACAAGGTGGGTATTATTATTATGTTTAGAAACTGGGGAAACCAAACAATCAAAATATGTTTCCTGTCTCCTAGTTTACAATCATGTTGTACACATTTTTACACACTGTAAGAGTTTTAAAGTCAGCTTTTCCTACATTTTCTTTTGACTCATAGTACTGGTTGCAGGAATTAAAGGAAAGATAAATGAAAGTATTGTTCTGAGGCCATAAAATGAGAAGATAAGTTATTGCTAAAGAAGAATAGGTTAAATTTCTACTTCTATCTGTTGCAATATCTGAACAAACTTTCAGTGTAGAAGAATAAAACCATTCTAACATCACTGAATGAATTAAGGAAATACATTTTGAATAATAATAAAAATCTTACCCTTAAAATGAAAAAGGAAATATGAATTCAGGTCAGAACAGTCCAGATTCAGTGCAAAGAGAGCTCAACCCCAAAAGTTGTTAATCACAGCTCTGGTAACAGCCAAAGAAATCCTTTTCAATGAAGTGAAGCAACTGTAGAAAACAAGTAAACAAAAATTTGGTCACTATGATGTTTCAGAAAGGATTTTTTTTGTCATGTCAGGAGCAACTTGAGAAACTGCAAGCCACTTCTGCTGTGAGAGAATTGGCCGTCTGCAAGGACATTGCCCAGGGGACGTCTGGATATTTTGATGTTTTACCATCCTTGCGGGAGGCTTCTTTCATGTCCCCGCACGAGGAGCTGGAGCTGATAGAGGGAGCTCATCCGCACTCTTCCTGGATTCAAACCTGCAACCTGTTGGTTTTCAGTCCTGCCGGCACAGGGGTTTAACCCACTGTGCCACCGGGGGCTCCTTAGAAAGGATGATCAAATCCACAATGCACAATTTCTTTAACAAGCTGCATATACTCTATGGGCTTTTGGTAAAACCCTCTCCTGTACTAACCCTAGTACGACAACAATATTTCTCCCCCTCACCAACAGGAGCTATTTTGGATGTGTGGGCGCAAAGGTTATTGTGAGGGAGAAGTTACACATAGTGTCAGGTAATAACATACAATTTACATACTACAGGGTGCTTTCAATTCTTCTCAGTACTCAACATTCTTCCTGTTATACACACAGTTTTTTAATTCCTGGATAATATTCATGCATGGTGATTGCATATACACCTTAAATGAATGTCAGGGATCGATCATTTGGTAAATAATTGCAAACAGCAGTTAATGTCAAACTCACTTAGGACTAGTACTGTTATCTCCATTACCTTTTAACTACTAATAATCCTGCTACAAAATAATCATAGGCATACTTGTTCATTAAGGAGGAGGAAAATATTTTAAAAATCAGAATAGAACAATACCTTTCTTGGGATCAGGTTATATGTTCATTTTGTAGAGTTATACTTATTCAAACATTCTTCAGGGAGAATAGCAAAGGGAAAAGAAGAACAGGAGAACAAACTGGACATAGTCCTGATAAAACTTAAGGGCTTTATGATAATCAATTTCCCCTACACACATTATGTTGCTTTCCTTAACAGCTAGACTGAACAATCTGAAAGACGCTTGTTCTCTTTTTTGTAATATTTTTTGTTGGTTTTAACAGATACTACTCTATGGTGAGGACCTGAGGGAACAAGCAAATAAACTGGTATCATGAGAGCACTTGCATTTTTAGAGATTTACCAAAATTAAAATAAATGTAGGCAACCTGACATGAGGTCAGCACCGAAGATGGAAGAGGTGCAACACACGCTGCAAATTCAAGCTTGATGTTACATAAAAATCAAATAGCATAGTTTATACATAGGCTGAATATAAAATGGTGTTGGATTTTAGACACCCCAACCACAAGCAAATTCCATCTACACTAGATTTACCAAGTTAAAGCAAACTTTCCTTATGCGTGGAACCTCCTACCATTACCACACACACACACCTCTGAAAACAGCTTCCAAAGCTGAGCCAAGATCTACAAAATATTACTATGGGAGCTGCATAGAAAAAGTTGTCAGGATTTATTCCTCTTCACTGTGCTTTTCTGAGCCATCCTTAATTATGTATTTAAATGTTACTTTATTGGGCACAACTTTTATCAATAAAATAAATACCCGGCCTATAAACATCAAGACTCTTGTGAACAGAAATTACTGATGACATCTGCTACTAGCAAGTTGGAGAGATATATAAATGATATATATCAAAGCCTGGCACCTTATGGAAAATTCAGGAAGCCCTGAGACAGACAGCAGAGACAGAAAGCACTTTAGTTTTAGCTGCAATTAGTGTATTCTAAAGTGCTACTAAAGTGTTCATAAATTCTGAAATAAAGTAGAGAGGAGTGAAAGATTCAACCCCCCTTTACATTTCACCTCCTATAAGAATATGACACAAGGGAGCCAGATTCAATATAGCTCACATAAAAAGCAACTCGATAGAATTTCTTGGAAATTATTGTGTGTACCTCCCACAATAGCAAGATGGGAGTTTGCAATCATACTTTTGCTCTCTGGACAAATTACACAGTTGCTGCTTATAACAAAAACACAACCTAAGTTGTGATCCAGGGTGCCAACCAGCCTCACATTTCAAAGAGAGATACTATACCTTTAAGACTGTTCTCATGCACTCAACCCACACATTCACTGTACTTTTTAAGGCTCACTCAATGGAAGTGACGTGCACTCAGTGCTGTTTACATCCACTTTCTCTTTAAATGCTGCATCCTGTTGTACACTCCCTTGGATTTACCCCAACATATAGCTATACTGGCTTGACGTAGAAGGAGCTGGGGGTGGTGACGGCCAACAGGGGGCTCTGGCGTGGGCTGGTCTATGAGGTCACGAAGAGTCGGAAGAGACTGAACGAATGAACAACAAAAATAGCTATATCCAACCCCATCACAGCACCTTCTATTTTAATATGCTGGTATTCCTCTTTTGGATGTATAGTAAAATATAATACTAATAATACTAATAAAATAAATCATGCACCTCAGAGCCCCTGAACTAAAAGCTTCCCCTCATTCCTCAGGTGTTAGGTATTTTTAATTGATGATATATGGATATGCTGTTGCTCTCCGACTGGATCCATGGGAAGAGGTGGGTACAAAATAATACTAATATAATCCAGACATCATCGAGCCCCCAAAGTCGATCCAAAGCCCTTCCAACATCCTCCACCATTTGGACTTCTTCTTTCTCTTCTTCTTCTTAACAGTAATAATATAATTCACATACACCAGAGCCCTCAAATAATAAGCATGAATTATTATTAACAACAATAGCAGTAGTAATATAATTCAGACACACCAAACACCAACAATAACAACAACAGGGGGTGCTGTGATTTTATATGCCTTTATGATTTTAACATGAATTTTTATTCAATATTAATTATGTTTAATACTGTTTTAATATTTGTATGGTTTAAGTTGCACGGTACTGTTTTTAATTGTGAGCTCCTTTGAGTCTCCATGTGGAGAAAAAAAGCGGAATACAAACTTAATAATAATAGTAATATAGTTAAGGCACACCAGAGCCTCCAAATAATAACAGTAAAACAATTAAAGACACACCAAATCTCCCTAATAATAATACAACTAAGACACACCAGAGCCCCCAATGTTAATACTAACAATTAAAACACACTAGAACCCTCTAATAAAAATCTAATTCAGATACAGCAGAGGCCCCAAATAATACTAATACTAAAAACTAACATAATAACAATCAGATACATCAGAGCCCACTAAGAATAAGATACACCAGAGCTCCATAAGAATAAGAATAATAATACATACATACCAGACCTCCCTAAGAATAAGATAAACCAGAGCCTCCCTAATAATAATGTAATTAAGACATACCAGAGCCTTCCAAATAATATAATTCAGACACACCAGAGCCTCCAAATACTACTACTAATAAAATAATTATAATTATAAAAATCAGACACACCAGAACTCCATAATAATAATAATAATAATAATAAGAAGAAGAAGAAGAAGAAGAAGAAGAAGAAGAAGAAGAAGACAACGACATCATGGAGTCCCCTAAGAACAGTAACACAACAGAGCCCCCCAAGAAGAATATTAACATAATAGACATACCTGAGCTCCCTAAGAATAGTAATAATGTAATTAAGACACACCAGTCTTCCAAATAATATAATTCTGACACACCAGAGGCTCCAAATACTCCTACTACTAATAATAACAATAATATACTAATAATAATAATAATAATAAATCAGATACTCCAGAGCCCCTTAGTAATAATATAATAGACACATATCAGAGCTCCCTAATAATAATAATAATAATAATAATAATAATAATAATATAGAGACATACCAGAGCCCCTTAAGGATAATAAGGCATACCAGAGTCCTCCTAATAATACTAATAATGTAATTAAGACACACCAATCTTCCTAATAATATTATAATTCAGACACACCACAGCCTCCAAATACTAATATTAATTATAATATAGTAATAATAATAATCAGATACTCCAGAGTCCCTTAGTAATAATAGACATATCAGAGCCCCCTAATAATAATAATATAGAGACAAACCAGAGCCCCTTAAGAATAATAAGGCACACCAGAGTCCTCCTTATAATAATAATGTAATTAAGACACACCAGTCAATCTTCCAAATAATATTATATTTCAGACACACCATAGCCTCCAAATCCTAATATTAATTATAATATAGTAATAATCATCATCATGATACTCCAGAGCCCCTTAGTAGTAATATAATAGAGACATATCAGAGCCCCCTAATAATAATAATAATAATAATAATAATATAGACACAGCAGAGCCCCTTAAGAATAATAAGGAACACCAGAGTCCTCCTCCTCCTCCTAATAATAATAATAATAATAATAATAATAATAATAATGTAATTAAGACACACCAGTCAATCTTCCAAATAATACTATAATTCAGGCACACCATAGCCTCCAAATACTAATATTAATTATAACATAGTAATAACAATAATCAGATACTCCAGACCCCCTTAGTAATAATAAAATGCAGACATACCAGAGACCTTTAAGAATAATAAGGCAGAGCAGAGTCCTCCTAATAATAATAATGTAATTAAGACACACCAGTCAGTCTTCCAAATAATATTATAATTCAGACACACCATAGCCTCCAAATACTAATATTAATTATAATATAGTAATAATAATAATAATAACAATAATCAGATACTCCAGAGCTCCTTAGTAGTAATACAATAGAGGCATATCAGAGCCCCCTAATAAGAACAACAATAATATAGAGACATACCCAATCCCCTTAAGAATAATAAGGAACACCAGCCCTCCTCCTCCTCCTAATAATAATAATAATGTAATTAAGACACACCAGTCAGTCTTTCAAATAATATTATAATTCAGACACACCATAGCCTCCAAATAGTAATATTAATTATAATAATAATAATAATAAGATACTCCAGAGTCCCTTAGTAATAATATAAGAGACATATCAGAGCCCTTTAAGAATAAGACACACCAGAGTCCTCCTCCTCCTCATAATAATAATAATAATAATAATGTATTTAAAACAAATAACATTATAATTCAGACACACCAGATCCTCCAAATACTACTACTTTAATAATAATAATATTAGTCGCAATAATAATAATAATGATAATAAAATTAAGACACACCAGACAATCTTCCAAATAATATTATAATTTAGGCACAACATAGCCTCCAAATAGTAATATTAATTATAATATAATAATAATAATAATAATATTCAGATACTCCAGAGTCCCTTAGTAATAATAGAAGAGACATATCAGAGCCCCTTAAGAATAAGACACGCCAGAGTCCTCCTCCTCCTCATAATAATAATAATAGTAATAATAATAATGTATTTAAGACAAATAACATTATAATTCAGACACACCAGATCCTCCAAATACTACATATAATAATAATAATAATAATAATAATAATAGTAATAATAATAATAGTAATAATAATAATAGTAATAATAATAATCAGATACACCAGCACCCCCTAATAATAAGCCTGGGCCTGCTGCTGCCCTCAGGAGGGGAGGCCCACCACGCCCCGCTGCCCTCCTTTCCTCCTGCTGCTGCTGCTCCCTCACCTCTGGCCTCCAAGCTGCTGCTGCTCCTTCGCCCTCCTCAGCCCGGCTCCAGCAGCACCGCCAAGGGAGGCGAGGAGGAGGACGACGACGACCTCTTCGGACCGTGCCTTCCTCCCCCTGGCCGCTCGCTTGCTTTCGCCTTGCCTGCCTTCCTTCCCTCGTTCAGCTGAGGCGACGGAAACAAGACCACCGACCGCTCTCTCCGCGCGCCGTGAAGCGAATGAGCCGCCCTCTCGAGAACAAGAGCCGTTGGCTCCTCCCATTCTCCCCCCCTTTCGCCTTCCCTCGCGCTCATTGGCCACAGGGGGCGCGCGAGCCTGCCTCGAGCGTTGCCGCCTCGTCCTCGTCCTCCTCCTTCCCCCCTCCCTTCTTCTTTCTTTCTCATCCCATTGGCTCGACACGCCTCACTTAGCCCAGCAACCGATTTCTGATTGGTTCCCAACCTGGCGGGGTCGACTTCGTCGTGCTGGCCAATAAAAAGCAGCCTCTTTTTTTCCCCTCTTTTGGAAGGGGGAGGCGGTAGCGAGGGGGCCTCTCATTGGACAGCAGTCTAACCAACTTGAGCAACTTGGAAAGACAAGGCTTCTGTCAGGCCTGGCCAAACTGGGGCCCTCCAGGTGTTTTGGACTTCAGCCAATAGTGAAAGGACCAAGGCAGAGACATCTCCAGCTCATCCCCTGTTTGGGTATCAGCCAGCACGTCAACGACTTAAATCTAGACATAGTTTTCTAAGATCTACAGAGACACTCGCTGGAACACCTCAGCAAGCACGAGTCCAAAAGTGGCAGGCTCAAACCCAGCACCTCAACCAATGGCTGATACCAAATGAGAGACTCCCTCCTGGGCACACAGAAGACTGGGCGACTTGGAAGGCACTGACTGCGCTCTGGCACCACGAAATGCAGAGCCAACGTTCAGAAATGGGGCCACAAAATGGAATCCTCGACATGCGAGTGTGGAGAAGAGCAAACCACTGACCACCTGATGCAATGCAACCTGAGCCCTGCTACATGCACAATGGAGGACCTTCTTGCAGCAACACCGGAAGCACTCCAAGTGGCCAGATACTGGTCAAAGGACATTTAACCAACTACCAAGCCCACAAGTTTTGTATTTTTCTATTTGTTTGCTTTGTTCAGTTAGAAATGTAATATAATGGACTGGTTGCTCAGACACGACAAATATAAGCCCCCTTTTTCAGGCCTGGGCAAACGTGGGCCCTCCAGGTGTTTTGGACTTCAACTCCCACCATTCCTAACAGCCTCAGGCCCCTTCATTTCAGGCCTGGGCAAACTTGGGCCCTTCAGGTGTTTTGGACTTTAACTCCCACCATTCCTAACAGCCTCAGGCCCCTTCATTTCAGGCCTGGGCAAACTTGGGCCCTCCAGGTGTTTTGGACTTTAACTCCCACCATTCCTAACAGCCTCAGGCCCCTTCCTTTCAGGCCTGGGCAAACTTGGGCCCTTCAGGTGTTTTGGACTTCAACTCCCACCATTCCTAACAACCTCAGGCCCCTTCCTTTTCGGGCTGAGGAGGAAAAGGAAGGGGCCTGAGGCTGTTAAGAACGGTGGGAGTTGAAGTCCAAAACATCTGGAGGGCCCAAGTTTGCCCAAGCCTGGTATATAGCTATTGTTTGTGCTTGCTATTCCTTCCAAACTCCATAGGGTATAGCACTAGATTACTGTTTGTCAGTGTCCAAAAATATCTATACTCTCCCATAAAACTACCTGTTTTATTCTTAAGTGATCCCTCGTTGTCCGAGTAGGATTGTCTTGCAAAATGGCTGTACTGGTGGTGGGTACGTAGGTGACTCTGGAACCCTATTGATCTGTATCTTCTCCCACAGTGCGGGCATCGGTTTCCAGGTGGAAGGTGGTCCTGGTCAGGGTTGGCTTGACGTGCCTTCCTCTTGGCATGTTTCTCTCTTTTGCCCTCCAGTCGTGCCTCTTCAAATTCTGCAGTACTGCTGGTCACAGCTGACCTCCACATGGAGCACTCGAGGGCTTCCCAGTTCTCGGTATCTATGCCACAGTTTTTAAGATTGGCTTTGAGCCCATCTCTAAATTTCTTTTCCTGTCCTTCAACATTCTGTTTTCTGTTCTTGAGTTCAGAGTAGAGCAACTGCTTTGGGAGATGGTGGTCGGGCATTCGAACAACAGGGCCATTCTAACAGAGTTGATGGTGGAGGACCATCGCTTCAATGCTGGTGGTCTTTGCTTTCTGCTGTGTTTTTCAGTGTTCTTATGAGTGATGGTCACCCGTTGGCCTGATAGATGTATTGTGTCCAAATTTGGTGTCAATTCGTCCAGTGGTTTTTGAGTTATGTTAATCTCACAAATGAACATTACATGTTTATATAGATTTAAAAGAAGAAAATAAAATGAAACTATTGGATTTTCTATAATATCAAGAGGAAATTGGTATTAAAGGCATGTGGGCATAACAAGAAAATAAAAATAGAGGAGGTAATGACACTAACGGGATCCCCAATGATGTCCAAGAGATTCTAGAAACTTAATCTACCAGAGATAAAAATATTTTATTATGAAGAAGACAGCAGAGATACCATAGGAAGCTTTAATTAGGGCTTTCTATTTTCAATTTCTCAGCTTTTCTGTCTCCTTTGTTTCAAAACACTGTACACCCAGTTTTCTGTCCTGTTTTAGATTAGGAAATGCTTTCTTTTTTTATTTTCCTTTTTAGCATCATAGAAACTTTTTTGTATTACCGTAGATAGCTGTGGAAGAAGACAAAGATGTCAGATATTAAAAATACCCCTGTTCTATATCCACTCTTATACCCTTCCCCATTCCTCATATATTTGCAATAAAAATTACATGAAAAATCTAATGAAACCATTAAAAACCCTATACATAAAACACTAGGCCAGCCATGATAAATTAGGCCTCTGGGAATATCACATTTGGCTACTGATATTGAAACTTGATGCAGCTGAAAAGGGCTCCCTATAATTCAAACCTCTTGCTACCATTTCCTAGTATCTTCATGCCAAAACAGCTGCCAAAAGATAACTATCAAGAGCTCCCTTATCAGTGCATCTGTTAATCTTTTGCTTTTCGGGATTAGCATTATACTCTCCAATTCTGTCTTGGCACCAGCTTTTAAAGCCATACATTATCATCATCATCATGACATTGAAGCAGGGGAATAGAGATCTGAATTCTATTGGTAGACCCATTAAATCAGTGGGATTTCCCAAAGTGTTCATTCACCCACTACTCAATTCAGTGGGTTTTCTCTAATTTGGGAGCACCCTTTGAAACAGTGAAGAACTTCAAAAGCAGTAGTCAACAAAAGAGCAACATTTCACAAGGGAAATGTTCTTTCCGTTACTGTGAAAAGGCTAATAAGCAAGAACAAAAAATAGCTAGCATCTTACCTGAAAGTTACCTGGGAAGGCCAAGACCTTGAACACTGTTCCCACCCTAAATATCTCGGCAGCATCTTAGATCAAACACTAACATTTAGGAAACACTGCACGAACACCAAGCACAAAGTAGCTGCACGCAATAACACCCTGTGGAAACTTACTAGTAGCGCATGGGGAGCAGACCCAAAATTAGTAAGAACATCAGCTCTGGCCTTGTTGTGCTAAACTGTTTAGCATGCCTGCCCCATCTATCTATATAAATACAAATGTAATATTCATTTGTGGGATTAACATAACTCAAAAACCACTGGGCAAATTGCCACCAAATTTGGCCACAAGACACTTACTAACCCAAGGAATGACCATCACTAAAAATGAGTTTTTCTTTTGGGAGTTGTAGTTGCTGAGATTTATAGTTCACCTACAATCAAAGAGCATTCTGAGATTTATTTTGGTTTGAAGGAAAATAATGATGGGATCAGGAAGGGCATCCCAAAAACTTGCTGCCACTAACAAGACCCGGCACCTGGTCATTACCTGAATCATTCCTTTTGTTGTGGGTCCTGATGTTGGAGAAGGTTAATGGGAAGACAGCATTTACATCTCCTTTTCTAAAATATAAAAAAAATTAGAAAAAATTCTCAACACCTAAAGGCAAAATACGTATGACTAATTAAACTAAGTCTTGAAGTATTTGCTAGGAAATTCTCAGTTATGTCTCTGATGGGACTGTCCACCTGAGCCCTCATCTACACTGACCATTTAATACATTTTCAAACTGGTATTGAGCAAAGTGGTTTCACTGTGCAGATTATTACATAAGAAATCCTGGACTCAGCTTTTTGCCTGGCTGGTGATTACACAAACCACAAAGCACTGATGCGCATTAAGGTATTTCTTTTGGGCACTTTTGTGGGATTTTGATATCTGGCTGCCAGTTTCAAAATAGCTTTGAACTGCACTAAATGGTTAGTGTAGATGGGGACACAGTCTTCCCTTTCTACTAGACTGCAAGCTGGTTTAAGGAGGCCAAGGAAGGTTTCTGCTCCACTGCCTCTCAGTAGGATCTCAGCCAAATCATGAGGGTGCAGGGTACCTTTGAGGACATGGCCAGCCTGGGAATTTGTTTTCTGCAGCAGAGCTGAGTCCTGATACACTGGGTTCATTTCTGGGTTGGATTCCTTCCAAGCTTTATTTGGCTCTGTCCAAACACTGTAGGCGAAGGGAGGGAATGTCCTGCCTGCACACTTCCTCCTTGCACTTTTCCACCCAGGAGAGCTTCCTGAAAAAGGAGAGTTTCATCGCTCTCTTCTACACCTTAGAATTAATGCAGTTTGACCACAGTTTAATTGCTATCAATCCATGCTATGGAATACTGGGATGTTTTTAGTTTTTCAAGATCTGGTGCATCATATAAACCAACTGGGCAAGCACACAATAGCAGCAGTCCTATCTTAGAGAGTTATTTTTAATATTAGTATTATTAATATTACTGCTACTACTACTACTAATATATTATAATTATATATTTAAATTACATGTAGTATTACTAATAATATTACAATATAACGGTATAGTGTTGTTGTTCATTCGTTCAGTCGTTTCTGACTCTTTGTGACCTCATGGACCAGCCCACGCCAGAGCTCCATTGGCCGTCACCACCCCCAGCTCCTTCAAGGTCAATCCAGTCACTTCAAGGATGCCGTCCATCCATCTTGCCCTTGGTCGGCCCCTCTTCCTTTTTCCTTCCATTTTCCCCAGCATAATTGTCTTCTCTAAGCTAATGGTATAGTACAATATAGTAATATTTAATACAGATATTGTACTATGCTAATAATATAATATAGTGTAGGTATATATA